TAAAATGCAAATAAGAGATCCTTTGATCCTTCTGGCTTTCTCCCTATATAACAGAATTATTTTATCACCCACTTACTTCATTTCCCTTCCACTTTCATCTTGCTTTCCTCTAATAGCTTTCTAGTTCCCCTGCCCTGACACTACACCCAGTGTGCCTCCCTCCACATGTCTTGTAGCAGTGCAGTGCAGGATACATCTTTATCAAGTACCCATTCTAAATATGAAACATCTTCAGTGAGGGATTGTACTTCTTGTTTTACTGCTGATTTTGTGAAGCAGCAGAGCTGGCAGGGGGAGGAGTTCAGAAAATCACCTCATGTAGTGAGCCTAAGTTCAGTTTGAAATGCCAAAACTCCTCACTAATATTCTGGGAGAAAGCACAAATATTTAAAGAAAAGAGAGAAAGAAGTGGCCTGGGAGTGGGATTTTGCAGATATTTTTGGAAATTTCTGATTTTTACACAGCTGCGGAAGTAAAAAACATTTTTCCTTTCTCCTTCCTTCTCTCTTATTCTGTATCCTGTTTGGTTTCATAGGTCAAGAGGTCTTTGACCAGAAGGAAGGAACCAGCCCTTTCTGTGTCCTCCTGAAGAGGACATTATTTGAGTCTCCAAACAGAAACCTCTGCACTACAGCCCTGCAAAAAGCCTGGTCAGCCCTGGCTAAAAACTCAGGCTAAACTTGGTTACGTGAGTCACCACTTTACTAACTTCATACCTCAGGCATGACGGGAAATAACAGTGGTGATACTAATATACACCAGACCAGGGAACCTGCAAACTACAGAAAAGAGGGGAGAAATAAGGAGAACCAAAATAAAGAGACAGTTTCTGCTCTAAGGTGGGTAGAAGGTGTGTTGATGGTGATAAAAAAGACTTAAAAGCATATCTGGCATTGATTGCTGGGGGTGGCTTGCTCTCTGCTCACTGTGAGGGGGTGAGACTTTAAAGCACAAGATCTGCAGCTAGAAAGGCTCTCATGTTTGTGTTTGAGTAGCAGTTCCAGCTGTGTGGGAAGATGAAGGCATCCTTGGTGTGCTCCCATTTTGGAGGGTACATTGGGAAGGCCTGCTTTATACACAGTGCTTTTTCTGCCAGTGCTAAAAGAGCAAGGCTGCAGGAACAAATCTGGTCCCTTTCCTGAGGTAGGACTCAGAGCACCCTGTTTGTTGAATGCCTGTATAGGCACTGTTAGTGAGAGCCTTGTGGCTTTGAGGGTAGGGGATGCTCTGCATTGGCTGGAGAGTGGGTGTGGTGTATCCTGGGGACTGGAAAGCAGGTCTAGTGGGACAGGTATTTTGGTGCACCCAAATGGAAGGGTACCTTGTGCAACTGGACCTCAGAGCGGGCTAAGGATGTGATTAATCCTGTCCTCCTTGTCACAACCCTCAGGCTTTGACAGTTCACTCCTGGCAGAGCTACTAGTGTCTGCTTCCTGTGACCTTCAATGGGATCACCACTGAGGAACGTTATTAAAAATATTTGGGTTCCCACTTACCAACTCATCTTCTGATCCTCTGGAGCCTAAATGGAATGGGTGAAGTGATTTGAATGATATGGACAAGTACTTAGAGGAGTGAATAAAGGAAATGTACAGCATATACACCTCACTGTGACAGTTGTGGTGTTGGTGTGCTGGTGGGAAATGGAGCAACAAAGAAGGTTTTGAAGACAAGACATTGGTCTTCCATAGATTACTTAGTCAAATGCACTCAACCACAAGTAATGAGAGAGGGACTCTCCAGGCCTTGTACACACTCAGATAACTCAGCATTAGTGATGGTACAAACACAGCTCTGATCTGCAAGGGTGAATGACAAAATTCCCAGCTAAAGCTGTTCATAAATCTTTGCAAAGAATTTAGATAAATCCTCAAATTTAAGAACTGTTTTTACCTGATCTATTCACCATGTTTAAGTGTTGGGTAAGGTGTGGGATTTTATGTGTTTAAGAGTTAAACACGAAAACTTCAAGGGTGTGTGGTCTGTGTATTCCTCTGGGACATGCTCTTTGTGTTCCACGACTTACCAGCCTGCTGGTATTTCTCCAACCTCGCCTACTGTTGACTCTTGGCTACTATTTTTGGCGACTGCAGATTCCTTGCGTACCACAGGAGGTCAGCACTAGATAAGTTTGTACCTCCGCTGAAAAAAATGTTCCTGATCTTGAGAATGCTCAGCTCCCACCCGGTGAGTGCTGAGTTGCTTTTGTCAACTGTTGGATGTAATACGATTTTAGGCTGCACATCTTTTTAACCCCATCTCGCTCCAAAAACGACTGTTTTCTTTGTGGTTATTTTCCCTTTTTCTGCACGTTCTCATTCTGCAAAGTAATTTTATGAAAAGGGTCTATGAACCATATATATACATGCACACACTATATATATATATATACACACACATATATATATATGCTGCTTATAGTACTGAAAAGGAAAGACAAAAAGCCTGCAAAGCCAACAATATAAAAATATAAAAGTCAGGGAAGAAAGAGTAAATTTGCTTTTGGCCAACAGCCAAAGAGGAATGTTCACATATTACTGAAAAATACTGAAATGAATGTTTGGTGGACTAGCAGTGGTCAGAGTCAGACTGAGACACTTGGAGCTATGGCAGATGCTTGGTTAAAAACAATGCTGGTGGTTTAATCCAGTCCTTGGGATGGTTCCTCCCTTTCTCACCATCCATAAATTTCATTTTGTTTTTACAACCTGGCAAACAATAAAGTCTTGTCTCAGAGCAAGACATTTGTACTACAGTGACCACAAGGCAAAGCTGAGACAGAGTAATGAGAAATTTGCTTGTCATTTGTCTTGCACTGAAATAAATGTATTTGCAAACTCTTCTCCTTCCCCAGAAATTGTAAAAAAAAAAAAAAAAAAAAAAAAGCTGCATCTGTTCACAGTGGTATCATCTGGGGATAAACCAGGAAAGTATAATTCAGGAAGGTGCAAATTATTTCTCTTTCCTCTTCAAAGCTAAATTTAGAACATAAATCTTAGCATAATGTTTGCTTTTTATTTTGTTAGCCAAAAAGAGAAATGTAGCTTAGTCTTCAAACCAATATGGCAATTTTTATAACCGAAATATTTTTCTTGGCACCATAAAAATGAGTGTGTGGGAGAGGGAGGAAAAAAGCTGGCAGTTTAAGCAAATAAAGTAGGAAAAAAATGTGTTCAGTTAAGGGCACCAAAATAATATTATTGTTCTCTAAGTGACATTTTCATTGTTAAAAAGTTGCTTTTGGTGCAGTGGATTTCTACTAGGACCTCACAGCATAAGTAATATTATAACATAATGATTCTGTTAAGGCCACATTTGGAGAACAGGTCTCAAAGGCAGTGGCATAAAACAAGACAATGGCAGCATGGGAAGTACAAAATGCACAGGACATTTCAATATAAATTGTCTTCTTTCAGCTAAAAGCATTTGGAGTCTAAATTTGGATGCAGTGAATTATTTTAGCTAAAAGGAATTAATTTAGAGGAAGTTACTGATGCAGGCAGAGAAGGAATAATTCTGTCTCAGAATTTTCTACAGGAAGTAAATGAGGATGTGAAGTATTCTAAACCAAAGTAGTCACTTTTCTTAAAAGTGTTCAGAATGGGCTCAGAAAGAGACAAAACTCATGCAGCAGTGGACAGAGGGAGCACAGGGATTGAATTTTGGGTTGAAATCCCAACAAAATCCCTTTAGTGTAGAAAACGTTGTTTGAATAAAGAGCACTGTTGACAGCCTGCCTGTCTTCAGAAACGTCAACTAAGCAGAGATTATTATCTCTTGAAGTGGCATTTAATTAGTGGAATTTAACCTGAAATATGAGATTATCTCAGCTGGTTAGAGTATGGTGCTAATAAAGCCAAGGCTGTGGGTTTGATCCCTGTATGGGCCATTCACTGAAGAGTTGGACTTGATGATCCTTGTGGGTCCCTTCCAACTCAGAAAATTCTGTGAAATTCTGCAAGGATCACTAAAACCGCTTTCTTGCTGAGTTCAAATCCCTTCCTTTTTATATCTACAGGAATCAGCCATAGGATTCCCTGCTCTAATGATAACAAGTCAGACAGCTTTGGATACCTGCCTGGGAGGAGTGGGGCTGTGAAGACAACCAGCTCCTCCAGCAGAAGCCTGGGAATCTGCTGGATCCAATGCAAGTTCAGGAGGGAACTGTTTGGACAGGTCTGACTGTAGTGCCCGTGCATGTTGTTGGGCAGCAGGGTGAGGCCTCTTGGCCTGAGCTGTTTTGCCTCTGGCTTAGAGAACAGGTTAGTTTACAGATCTTCGCTGGAGATGGATGACGGAGCGTGCATGTGTGTGGCAAGGAGGTGTTGCTTGAAGGGAGGAAAGTGTGAACAGAAGAAGAGTGATAAAACCACTCATTAAATTTAATAGCCTTGCTATTTACATTGGAGTTGGCACTGAAGCCAGCGTGTAGGAATGCACGAGCCAAAGGAAAATCTAAATATGACCTAACAAAGCTAGAATGGGAGTTGAGAACTTGGACAGAAACTATACTAGTTTACACTTTTATTAGGAAACTACTCCGTTTCAGGAATGTCTCTCCAACTTGCGAGTGTCAAGCAGTAGGTGCATTAGCTTTACCATGAGAAAGGCATACCATGGTCAAATGATCCTTTGCCTATCAGGAGTGTTCCTTGTTGTGCACATGGAGACTGCTCCTTGGCTACCAGGGAAGAGCAGGATAGGGAAAGTGTTGCTAGCATAATGATCAGGAAGAGCAGCATAAGCTTGGAAGTGGCAAACCACAGTCACTAGCTAAAGGATGCACTTCAAATTCACAGGGCCAAAATTTAAAACTCAACATCCCTGTTCTGTGTGTCTTACTCATAATGTCTAAACATCGTCCCTCTGATCAAAGGGAAGGAAATCAGTCCTGTGTGTAGTGAAGTCGATGCAAAGGCTCTCACTGACTCCAGCTGGTCCTTGGTTGATGCACTGACATCATGTCTGTAAAAGAACTAAAGTTCACATAAACAAGTAGCAAAAGTTATACAGAAGGGGTTTATTACATGAATAATTTGACATACTCCACAGCAGTCAGATACAAGTGCATTTAATAAACGTTTTGTGGACATCATAACAGTCTGAGTATTTCAGCTGAACAGTCAGTATTTGGCTGAATTCAAGCCAGTGCAAACCATGACATAACCATAAACAAGGAGTTACAGGTCTACAATGAGGTTAGACTAGATAGCAACAGCATATTTATTGTCACATCAAAGCATTACAAAGTATGAAAGCCCAATATTTCAACTATCTCTAAAATGGTATTTGTACAAAGCTGTCATAGATACCTAAGTGTAAGGATTCGTCTCATCAGTAATGGATCATGACTTGATTTTTGGGAGTTATTTCAATATTCAAAACTATTTGGGGCAACAAGAAGAAATGTAAACATCTGACAGTCCTTTGAAAGTCCCTTCTGAGAAAATACATTGTGTGCCACAGGAAAAGTGCATTCTAACTGGTGTGTCTGCTATGGCCAGTTTGACTCACATTCACTTAGCACCAGGTATTTATCCATTTCTGCAGTAAAAAGTTAGAAAATCTTTGTATTAACTCAGAAAAGAGAAAACAAAGTCAAAAGTTTTTTTCTTCTTCTTTTTTTTTTTTTAGAGGAACAACAATTAAATTAAAAACCCCACCCAACATTTAAACAGTTACCTCTTATGTACAAAGGAAACAAGAGCTAGCAAAGCGCATAGCCACTGAACAGTCTTTATTATTTTTTTTTCTTCAGGTTCATGTACCTGAATATATGAGTTTATTTACAGGTGGACAGATATCCACAGAAGTAATAATCAGAATACTTCTATTTGGCTAAAAGTTGTATAAAAAAAGACAAAACACTTTGTTCAAATACTTTCCAAATATATATATATATTAAAAGTATTCAGTATTTCCATCAGTGCCAGAGTTGGAAGCTCTTTCTCATTGTAAAAAGTTAACTTTGTGATAGTAAGTGACAGCAAAGGACTGACTGTGTCAGTCAGAGTTTTGATTTGAGGAACTGCAGCTGGAGCTACCCCAGGCCCACCAGGCAGTTGCAGATTGCAGGGAAATGAATCTGTGTCTGTCTGTTGCAGTGACAGGCAACACCCCAGTAAGGGAGACCTGCCCCGCTCCAGGGAGTCTCCCACCCATGCTGGGCACCCCTGTGGAACCCTCTGGGGCAGGTCCCCTTTGAAAACAACCCAAAAACCTCTGAAGTAGTGGGAAATATTCTTTATGTAAGCAGACAACTAGCATGGGCAGGTAGTTCAATAAATGGAAAAACATAATTGCCACAGTAATTCTTGTAAAGAATATAAAATTAAAGGCCTTAGCCCATCAAATACAAATACATACTGCAAAAATATTTTTCAATTAAACATAACCTAGATGAGTGCACGTCTCTGGATAGATAAGAATACTACTGCCTTCATACTGGTATCAAATATTTAAACAGTTTGCATATAAACAAAATCTTTCTTCGTTGTTGAGTCCAAGCTTGCTTTACTTTAAAGCAAGGATATTCTCAATACTTCTACTTTTTGCGTCTTTCTTCCTGTAGCATGAAGTGTAAGAAACATTTCATTCATTTTGCAGACTGGGGCTGATGCATACTACAGCTACAACCCAAAATTTAAGTAAGAAATGTTGCATGTAATATTTTTCCTTTAATTACACCAGCTACAAGAACAAGACATCCATTTTCCATCTTTCCTCCTCCCTTCCAACAGAAGGTATGCTAAAACCAAGCTCTGATCCTTCGTCCCTTCCACATCCCAGCCCTGAAGTCCGAGCAATGATCAGGATGAAGGGCTGAGCGTTTTGAGCACTGTATTGCTCGGGGCAGCAGGTCTCAGCAGTAAGACCACAACCCCTGAGGAGCCATCCATGCCTCTTAAGTGCCACACAGCACCATGGGGAAGTGATGGGCAGAACGAAACCAGGTTGGTAGGGTGGCTAAAAACACTGTCCCTGCCAGCCCAGGTGCAGTGGCTCCTCCTTGGCACAGCCTGACCAAATATTGCTGCAAACTCCTACTGACCCTGTGTGAGAGCAGCTGCTGGTCCCACTCAGCTGCCCCAGTGTCCAAGACGCTGGGCAAGAGGGGCTGGAGCAGCTCTGGCAGAGCCAGCACAGATATCATGCCCCTGTGTTGGGCCACGCTGGGTCTGGGAGCCCAAAGTGGTCTGACAGGGCATGCCAGGTCCCTGCCTTGGCCACAGGTCCCCATTGACTCTGCTCCTGGGGCCCTGCTGCTCAGCATTTCTCATCCTGCATCTCAGGTTTTGGAGTGCAGAAACAAGACAGGAGACAAATAAACGCTAAAGGAGATGGGAGCTCCTTCGGCTCCTGAAGTTTGGGGGTTGCTAACCTAGGGGAAAGGTTGGAGTTGAACCGATTCAAGATACAGTATGCAGCTGTGTGAAAATGCATAGTTTGTATGTATACATTCATTTACAAAGATCAAAGGAAGATTCTTTGCTGTGTAGTTTAATCACCATCGGCTTTTAACAAAAATGCAAGCTGACAAAGCTATAGGAGACCCGTTAAACACACCACCTGGGAGTCAATGGTAGCTCAATCGCATTTCCCAAACAGAGAATTAGCTGCTTTTTGCTTTTTTGAGATTAAGTAGTTTTTCATTGAAAGGCTGTTGTTTCTGTAATAATGTATTTTAGGATTTCAAGAGATTCCTATTCAACCATGGTCATCTCAGTACTGACATACCCTGCTTTGGGGGTTAAGAAGTAAATGCCCTCTAAGATAAATAAGCAAACCAACAGAAACCTGGTTTTAACTATGGCATGTGAGCTAGAATAAAACATGATTCTTCTGAACTGCTGAAATTCTAGGTCAGTAGTTAATAGTATTTCCTTGCTTTTTTTTTTTTCTGCTTTTTTTTTTCCTTTTGGCAATACCTGAGCTAGTATTTAGAAAGTCCTATGAGTTGCTCACTTTGCATTTATTTAGTTGACACTTTGGAACCTAGCTGCTTCCCATGAGGAATGTCTGTTGTCCTGAGCATCCCTGAACATAACAGTAATGTACCAGGCAGAAGGGGCTTATATAGGAGAAAGTCTTGGTTTAAATGACCTATTTAAGTGTTGTTTTCCATTTGCACCTTTTCTGGGGAAAAATTGCTTTGTCACTTGCGACACTTACTAAAACACAGTGGTTTCCTACTAAATGTAACTTCAACAAAGATCACTGCTCTTTGCTAATCAACATGTTCTATAAATACTTAATTCAGCGCTGAATTGACTTTTCTCATGATACTTTATCTTCATGGTTGTTTCATGTACTTGATTTTCACTTGGGATTTGACTTAGATTCTTTCTTGCAAGTTTTATTCAACCATATCTATGGAAATTGCACAAAAGCATTTCTGAAGCTAGAAAAAACTAATTACCAGAGAACCAGGATTCACATGGAGGAGTAAAATTATCAAAGCATATTCTGCAATCTAAAGTCAAGAAACATTGCCTGTAGCAAGCAAACTGATCATTCACTGGGAAATGAAAAAGTAGTAGAGACTTTTTTCCATATAAACAATGAATATCAGAAGTGCAAGAGGATGAGATTTGCTCGTTCTAAAACCCAGTGACCAGAAAAAAATTATTCATTACCTGAATTACTTGAATAACTTGAGAAGAAAAAAATCTTTCTTGATTTTTGTAAAATGTTAGTCTGTCCAAAGCTGGTTTAGTGAGTTATTAAAACTCAGGAGATTGTGCTTAGCAAATCAAGAATTCAGTAGTCTTTCTTTAAAGTTTCGAGTGCAAACAGATACATCTCAGTATTTTAACTCAATTATTTTCATTAAGTTTTAGGCATTAATAGACACATTGCTTATTTTGCCAATGTTTTTAACATAAAAAAACATGTGAAATGTTTGGAGTGTCCTGACTTGTACTGAGAATGACTCCTTAGATATCTGAAGTCTACTGAAGCGCTCTTGGATCAGCAGGCAGAATTGATTCAGATGCAGGAACAAAGATTTTAGCACTTTTTTTCATATGAAGTAACAGTAAAATTCTTAAGTGGAATTCAGGAGAGCCCAAGTCTGTGTGGTTTTGATCTAGCCCCAAAACATTTTCAGCAGCAATAGATTGCAGGGGCTTTTTGATGAGTTATGGCCAAGGCCCTCTGAACTCCGGAGTTCTCCCCAGCTGACAATGCTAAAGGGAGACAGTGGGAGTCTGGCAAAGGTCTGAACTGTGGCATTTTGTTCTGTGGGTTTGTTTTTTTTGTTTGTTTTTTTGTTTTAAGAAACAGAAAAGAAGCAGCACCTGCTTCTTACAAAAAACATTTTTGTTGCTATGTGCAAGCCCATGGAAACACCTTCTCTAAATGTGCTGTGCTGGCCCACAGGCTGCCCCCAGAGGGCAGAATCAAACCAGACTGCAAAGGAGTAGCACCTACGCACAATGTCTTCTCTACTAAGCCTTCCTTCAAACGTACATGGAAGCACAACAACTAGTCAGGCAACAGAGCTGTTATTTGTGCTGCCTGACAGACCACCACCTCGGAGGCCTGTCACTGCTCTTGCTCCTCAGCTGAACACAGACTGAGTTTTCAGACGCACTCTGTACTCATACAAAGGTTTTAAGCTTAATTCTCCTGTAACTCCAAGACCTGAGCAGTGCTGTGCAGGTCCCATCTCTCTGGTAGGATGCACAGGTGATGTCAGTCTATGCTTTCTCTTCAGCACAGATATCAGGTGCTCGCTGATGTCACACACAAAGCTTGCACAGTGCACTGGCAGTGCACCTGCCTCCCTCCGGGGACTCCCAGTGGTCCATGAAAGGATGCAACAGCTTTACAGCAGGCAGAAATACCTGGATCATGCCTATCCCTTGCAGGCAGAACTGCAGCTTGATTAAAAATGGCAAGGTGATGTATTTGCGGCTCAAGGTTGGGGTCACGCCAGGCTATTGGAGCAGTAGTCAGCTTTGACTTTTATGTATGGATGTAGAAGTGAGAAAGTAGAAAATCTGAAAGTCTCTTAAAAGGAACTGAGGACTCTGGGAGGTGGCCAACTACAAAGTTTTGCAGGGATTTCACAGGAATTCCAAGCTGGGTGTGGTCTGTGCAAACACACTCATCAACCAGGGGAGCCCAGGAAGGGCTCATGCTGGGAACAAAGTATCTCATCGCTGCCTCTCTCTCCTCCCTTCACTACCATGTGCTTTGTTTTTGCCACTTTTCTGGGTGTGATTTGGAATAAAAGAGTTTGGTATGAAGTAAAAGTCAAAAAGGTCTTTATTTTTCAATGTACTCCCCAAGATTTGAAGGAATTCTGTGCTGAAGCAAAGTAGCTGCTCTTTGTTTAAAGTGCTGAAACTGGCACCTACAAATTCTTAAGATAAACTAATGCAATAGTACTAGGGCTGTAAGTTTAACACCAAAACCAGAAGGAAGACGAGTTCTTCATTAGGTCATTTGAGAACAAAAGGATTGTCTTTAGGACATTCGTTCCCAAAATTAGTGCAGATGAAGGCAGAAAAAACACAAATGGAAGTACCACTGCCAACCCGGCAGTGGGCCTGTTAAGTGTAACAACTTGGAGCACTGCTGTTTAAAGCAGGAAAATTCATACTCACACACGGCTTCTGCTGGTGCCTTGTACTTGCACGAGTTCAGCCCCTGCAGAGCTAAGGGGATTTGCGGGCACCCACCAGACAGCACTGCCTTAGCACAGTGGAAAACACAGCTCTTTGGTGGTTCAGTTAAACTAATTTCAACTTTTCTGTGAGCTTTTTTTCATTTTAAACTTGCCTATTAAATAGTTTCACACTTCTTTAAACTAGATTAGGCTGATTTTTAAAAACTCCTATCAATTAAATTAATTCAGGTTTTGCATACAAGCGAACTCAATGTCTAGAACTTTGTCTCCTGCTTATCCATATTCCATTTTAACTCATGATATCCAATAATGTAACAGATTTACCAAATGGCAAATAATTTCAGAAGTATAATATTTATCAATGTATCACTAAAAAAGTCTCTGATCTAAACAAATTATTTGTTGCATTTTATGGAACTTGCAATGTTATAAAAACATTTTAGTTTTGAGGTTAATTTCTAGTTAAATCTAGATTAACAAAACCTTTATTGTTTAATATATCAAAAATACATGGCCCAACAAATGAAAATATATATAAAGTGCAATGCAGACCAAATTAAAGCTCAGTAATTTTACACTAAATGCTCTCATTCTAAAAAAATTAATTCAGAAAAAATGTTTTTAAAAAGAACTTGAATTTACTTTATATTCTCTGAAACAAGACTGGTAAGAAAAGAAAGAACAATGTATGCAGGCAGGTCTTACGCGATCTCAATGAGACTGCAGCCAAGACAGGGTGGGATAAAGGCAGTATTATCATGCCTGCCACAAGAAAGAGTAGAGGTACAAACCCAGCTGGCAATATGTTGATCTAGCCTTTAGCCATTTTATACAGACCCAGACTCACAGAAATGGTTCAAGCCAGCATAACCTGGGATACTTCTCTGGTGGGTAGGAAGAGCTTCTTCAACAACAGCACAAGCTTATGTCAACCTGATCTGCTGTGAACTGCAGTGTTAGGTGAAATGTAGAGGTCTAAATCTAAAATAATATTCCCCAAACACCTTGACTGACAAAGGTAATGTGTGGCTCCTTGCAAATGCAGGGGTGGCTGGTGCTATGTGAGAAATGACCCTGGAACAGTGATGAGGTGATGCCCCCTTTATAAAGGTCTACTAATAAAACACCAACTTAGTAAGGATAAGAGCTGGGAAAGAGTTGGAAAGAGCCTCCTTTATGTGGGGGTCAGACTCACATTGGCCTCAGTTTAGGGCTCAATGCTGGGTTCCAGCAAATCTTTGGGAAAAAGACTTGGTTAAGGTTACAGGGCTCTGTGGTTCTGGAAGGGGGGAAACAACCCCTTCGAATTTCAACATTGACAATACTGTAATTTATTCAGTGACTTTCTTTAACATAAAAGTTCACCCACAGTTTTATTTTAAATCTTTGAAAAAGGGAATATTCTTCAAAAGAGCATTCTGTCCTATGAACATGCCATGAATGTGTGAGGATAACCAACCTTCCTCAAGCTGGACACAACAAAGACAGCACTTGCTCCAGCCAACAGCACATGGCCTATGGTGGTGACTCCCTTCACAGAAGCTTGGCTATCTTGGGTCCCATCCTGAGAGAGCTCCTTCTCCCTGGGCCTGATATCAGTAGGATGGATTACAGACTGAATACCACCTGCTTAACAGCTCTTAAACCTGTCACTAAGTGACACATCCAAAGTACTGCCACTTTGGTATTACCAGGAACTCTTCCAACAGCTGTGCAAAGGTGCCAAGGTACATATCCCACCCCTCTCACAAAGCCTAACAGCAAAATCCTCAAGCACTCAGAAAGGGAGAGTCACAATTTCACACTCTCAATTCCAGTGGAAAGTTACAGAGAGGAAAACCCATGTGCCTCTGTTCTACAACCATTACCCGTGTGAGCAGTCCTTGTCAATGCACGGGAATAACTGCAACTCTCCTGAGAAAATCTGTACTGCTTGGAGGGCTCAACTACTTACAATGTGATCTTCATTCTGCTCTTAATTGTGTAACAAGACTTTTTATCAGGTTTGTAATTAAAAAAAAAACCAACAAAACCAACCAACACCACAAAGATCAAACCACAGAATTTCTGTAATTGACTTAAGATGAGTTTCCTCCTACTGGGATTCAATTCTGAGCAATTTTGTTTCAGGTCCTGCCTGATTGGCTCAAGCCTCTTTTGACTAAGTTGTCTCAAAGTTCGAGTCTGTCCCTCAGTGCCTTTGCTAGAAGTCAGTCAAACAGAGAAACAACCAAACACTCTTCTGTTCAACAAATCTGACTATTTCTGACTTTCAGGTAATTCTGGACTGTGAGCAGAAGACAAGAAAGAGAGATGTGAAGATGACATGTATGTCATTATCTAACAGAAAAAACCCACAAACACCACCAACACCCCCTCCCCTGCCAGGTGTAGGATAGCCAGATACACTGTACTTGGCAGCCTTACTCCACTGACCCCCCAGTGCAGAGACAGAGGGAAGAAATATGTGAGTGGAACTTGTAGTTTGACTGTTCAAATTTTTTTCATGACTGAACAATGAATCCTCAACATAATCTTTTCCTATAATCTTCTGCTTGTAAGAACTCCCCATTTAAGTTAGAGCAGATCATGTTGTATGATCTCATTCAGACTGTACAGTGAATGAAGAACTCTCTCCATTTTAAAGGTTATTTTTAAAAGAATACAATTTCAAGCCAAATACTACTAATTTAGGAATATTTTCATGATCAGAATACAAATAAAATCCAGTAAGAAAATGCAAGAGACAAAGCAAACACTGAACATTGAAGTAAGCATTTTCATGTCACCACGGGAAATTTCAGACTAAACTATGTCTGTAACCAAGGGCAAGAGATTTTTTCTCTCCATAATCCAGAACTTGTATGGCTTTGTAAAGGTGTTTTAGGTTACTTCTGCCATGTAAAACAACATACCACTAGTCTATGTGATTTACAGTTTCCCCTCTCCTCCTTTTGGTTCTTAGGAAATCCCAAATCCTATTTCATAATGTATAATAAATGGTTATAAAATTATACCAACATTATAATTTCAGAGAGGTAATAAGATCCCAGTGCTATAAAAGTCAGTTTTCAGAGAGTGCACATTTTTCAGTGATGTACAAACACACACACTTGTTTCCATAATTTAGCCCTTTATAAGTATTGCACCTGGTTAATAAGGCTACTGTCTATTTTGTCTTAATACTAAAAATTACATACAGACAATATAATTTGTGGTTTAAAAACACAGTATTCCTAAAGTTTTTAGGTAAATTCTTTTATTTCCTTGCATACTCAGAGCTCCTATGCCTCCGGTTGCCTGGAGGAGTGTTGAGTGTACAGGGAGTACAGATGGAACTATATAAATTTATATAATGTGACCTGCTTGTGCTCAAATGAGTTCCTTTGAGCTTGATGGCAAATAAACGGCTTTTACAAACCTAAGCAATGCTTTCACATGCTGAAATGTGCAGCTGAACTTGTCTTCTTTCTCACCTTCCTTTTTGCAATGCAAAAAATAAGAAAAGAATTCTCTAAATTTGTCTGGTCTTTTAAATACAAGGTAAATTGCATAAAACCAGGAAAAGATAGATTGTCCCACAAAGTGCATATTTCAGACAAAGCTTTAAGAGTATCTGCTCTTGCCAAGGCCTGATTTCACAGGAGCATAAAAATGTGTGCCAAACTTTAGAAACGTGGAGAGTCTCATCAGCAAACTCTGCAAGCTGAGGTAAACACATATGTGAGTGCTCTGATAAACCCGAGACTACACTCTGTTCTTGGAATACCAGTAGTTCTACCTCTGTGCAGCCATACCTCCTAATTTACAGACTATGTGCTCCCCTTCCCCGAAAGACTTGTTGGCATCACTGTAAGAATTAGTTACTACAGTTAAATACTAAGAATTCGGATACCATGTAAATGCTATTTACACTTTTAGGTTCTAATACTGAAGATCCTGATTTTTATTCACTTCAGTATACACATTTGGAATTTGCAGAACAGATCTCTGGACATGGGAAAAAGCTGACAGTAAAAAAAATTACTATGGATCAAAAATTATTTTTCTGTGTAAAAATAAAGCAAAATTGAGAATTTTCAAAATTTGCAGAATTTCGAAATTCTGGTTTACCATGGTTTGATAAAACTTTGGGTTTACAGAAGCTGATACCTTTGCAGATAAAAAAATGTGGTGACATGTTTTCTTTTTAATTTTCAATTATTAAACTATTATTTATATTCTTTTAAATTTTAATTAGCCCTTTTCAAAGTGCACTACACAACTCTCCAGGATATTGTGCTGACATAACGCTTTTTTGCTTGCTGAAGTAATTTGGTAAGAAGTAATCCAATTACAGACAAAGCATGCTTTGACCAAGCAACTATATAAACAAGACACTTTTATATTTACAGAAGATCCTGAAAAGATTCACACAAATGTATTTTTATTAGGTTATCATTCAAGCTAATTTTCTATATTTTTATAAGCTACAACATTAAGTAGGATCATGTTCATCTATTAGTGCTTCATTCTAATTTTAATAATTCAAGTACTGATATATTGCTCTTTTAATTTTGCCTAAAATAGAAAAAAAATCAATTTCCTAGCAATCTTCCATTCCAATAAACCCACATCCTCCCTTTACAGCCCTCTCATGTTCCCTGAGGAAATTTGTATTAACTATCTTTTATTTCCCTGTTTTCCCTTGGTAGTTTTCTACAAATAGTTTAGTAATTTCTGTTTATCTGGACATTAAACATCATACACTAATTGCTGCAGAGTATCACATACTAAGGTAAGGACTCCAAAATCAAACCTGAATTTTTTAAGAGAATTGGTAAACAGTAAATGCTAATATTCAAACATTTTTTAATGTTCAAGTCCATCTTTAGCGCTGAATTACAAAAAGAATTTGGATTTAATTTTGAAACACCACCTCATTAGTACAATGTTGTGTATGTGCCCAAGTAGCAGGAAAGCTGAAACAGTACTTCTATTGCTAAATTTATTTCCCTCAAGGGTATATTGGAGACCTCACATTCAGATTTGAATATGTAAGGAGAATCATTCCTGGTGCTAAGATGTGTTAAAAAAAACAGTGGAACACTGGCTTGTCACTTCATTTATCTATTCCCTTCTATTTCATCAGCTGAATGAATTGTAGCTGTGAGTATGAGCAAGCATCAGAGCAACCTTTATCTTCTTCCATCAGAAACAGGCCGATTTCTGTTCTCAGGGTCTTTCTGGATTGCTATTACAAATGGTCTGTGTGAAGCACAAAAAACATGATGACTGTTTTTCATATTGAGGAATAAACTCAAAAAGTTGCAAGTAGAAGATGCACACTCCTTAAATCCCACATTTGACAGAAGTGAGAGCATGGTTGATGCAAAACCACTGTAGTCCAAGATGGAAAGAGCAGTTCAAGTCGCACTACCAACAACAGGTGTACATCAGCTGTTTTGCAAGCCTGAAGCTTTTCAAGCTCCACAGGGATGCTGGCAAGGACTGCTCATGTCTAGCAGACACAGAATGTATTTAAACCCTCAGCTTGATTAATTTTTACCTATCACTTACTTTCTAGTTCTTTTCTAAGGGTGCCATAAAACTCTGCTGAACTTACACCAGAACAAAATCTACGCTATGACGCTTTACGACTGCCCAGTTATCTACCAGAAAAATCCCGACAAACGCAGGTTAAATCTCATACTCCATACTGTCTCAGTTCCAGTGCTACCACCTTTCAGGAAGACTGAATAAAATGTAAGACCAAGATGAGACTTGATAAATGTTTCCATATCAAAGTGTTTCTAAGAAAAGGTGCAGCACAACTTTATCCAGCAGATACCTATAGTTTGAAAGAAGCCTCACTGGCAACCACCTACATCTCTGCACATGGCTAGCAAGCTTCTGATTTCATGTCCTGTTTCTGTGATGGTGTTCTAACATACTTACAGGCAGGGGAAGAAATAAATCACTTGGTATTGCCACATTCACAGTGATTTTCCTGGATTCTCAGCAGGGCCACTTTAGCTGGTCCCAGGCCACAGCAAGCAGTAGAAAAACATCCTGACTCACTGGGTCAGAATGGTAAAGTCAGAGACAAAAACATCTGGGACATTGCATGGAGCTGGAATCTGTTCCAACATGCAGGTTCTGCAACAGCTTTACCTCCTGTTGTGTTGCCTATCTAGTCATTATCATAAAAGAAAAGGGAGAAGGGATGAAGACAGTGATGTCGGCAAAAGTGAACGGCTGCAAGGAACTTGTAGATAATTAGACAGCTAACGTTCATACAAGGCTAAGGATTTGGAAAAAGTAATTGGACAGACAATTCTGCTCAGCTTATTAGCACAAGCACGGCTGACATGCCAACAGGTACATGCTAGGTGACGACTGGTATTGGTTAAAATTAAATGTAAACTTGCAGATTGGAACAGAAGAGTTTTTACTCACTTTTGCGTCTTGTATATCCTGTTACATTTGTGCAAGGCACTAGAGAATCAGGCACATTGTTCTGGGTGGAAATCGTTTTATGACTAAGATGATCTGAGTTTTAACGTCCAATAGCTTCATACAGGAGCAGTTGGATCACAGTCCCTTATTAAAATTGCTATTAAAATTTTCCACTTCTAAAACTATCTCATTTTCCAGATTTTTCAGGGGATGGGAGAATGGAGAAGCGAGAAATAGCTTTGTTCTAATAAGAAGAAAACTCCTAAAGCAAAATATTCGGAATTAATACAGTTGATCTCCACACTGATACTGACGTTGGCAATTTCTGTTACCAGTATCAAGAAGTTAAATAGATAATAATAGTAACAATAAAACAGGTCCTTACATTTTTATATCAAGTTCTGCCTCTCAAAATACATGAACCCGCATCCAAATCCCTGCAGCACACAGAGACTGCACGATGTGCTCAAGCCATTCCTTCTGACTTCCCTGGGAGGTCAGAGACAATGACCTACCTCCCACAGAGAAACAGAAAATAGGGGAATTGGCATGTACTGATGACAGTAAATGACCACAGCATTCAGGCTAGCTCTTCCTTGGGAAAACAAAGAAATCAGAGTGTTTTGGAGAGGTCAGTGCAGACATGTGAGATAAATCAGGTGTCAGAAGGACAGCGAAGCAGCTCAAAGCAACACAGAAGCAAGAGACTGAAAATGGAAGAGGTTACTCCAGATTATGCTCACTACTGCCAGCAGAGGAAAGGCTTTGCTGACATTTCTGTCTTTGCTGGGTGTGTCAGGATCACAAAGGGATTTCGGTGGGCATTGAAGTGCTCACGTGGCAAGTGACTGGAGCTCAAAACACAAAGCCACTGGTGCAGGCCCGGACAGCCGTGCCGCCCTGCTATCGTGGCCATGGGTGAGACATGGTAACTACAGAAGTGCCTAATTAGGAATCAAAATGCCATAGCCGTAAGATCTAAAACTGATTTAATATAAACTGCTGATTAAAGGTTGTGTAAAAATATTGGTAACTTAGTTTTGTCCTGGCAGGATTTATCAAGTACCTCTCTGTCCTCTGCCTTGTTGACACCAGCTTTCTCTCCTGTTTTGATGGTTTGTGGCTTTTGTCCCTTACATAATCCATATCCAATTTGTACCAGAGGGCAATCTGGTCTGGCAACAAAACCATTCTTCTGTGTAGAAATTCATAAAGAATAATCTTATTACAACAATTCATAAAGTGCCCTCAGGAAAGGTGCTCACAATGCCATGACATTATAGAAACAATACACAATCTGATACGTTATTTTCAAAAAAATCCTCCAAAGCAAAAAGGAGGGGAACAACAAATACATAGGCAAATACTGTTAGTCTGGCAACAGTCAAAATAATCATGGAATGCTTTATAGTCTTGGAGTGCTTGTAAAAATGGGAGAGGGGGTGGGGGCAAACTGGCAGGAGTATCTTGGAAAAGTACCAAATTTTTAAAGTTCTATCAAAGTAAGCACACCACCAGCAAGCCCAGTGTTTGAATATGAAATGTCTATTAATTACTATGAGGTATTTTACTATGGAAATTGAAAAAATACAACATTTAAAGAAAACCCACGACCCATGTTTTACTAAGAGGAAAGAAGATAATACAGTGGGTTATGTATATCCACTTACCCTTAGTGTCTTGCTTTTTCTGTTTGTAAAGAAAACAATCTTTCTCCTCCCTGTTGATTCCAGATTTTATATACACATATAAAACTATATAATATATATAGTTTTACATATATGTATACACATATACAAAAATACTCATACACACATATATGTGTATATATTTCAGGGTCTTACTAGCTTCCAGAGTCTATTTTTCTTTTTTTTTTTAATGACTTAGAAAACACAATTGGGCAAAAAATCAAGTAATTGCATGCATGCAAGCGTATCTTGCCACTTTTGCATGTAAATCACACAATTTGTAAATAACTGCAGAAATAGCATGCTCAAATTAGGCATCTGATTGCCCAATTAACTTGTTCACAGAAAATCAGATGATAACCTTCAAGATCTCCTATTATAGATTTTGCTTTTCCATGCTACCTTACTGAATCCATAGTGTATATTCCAAAATTCTGCATTGTTATTCTGTGCTTTTACATAGGCACAAGCAGCAGTGCACACTTAATAAAGCTATCAGCTGAACTTTGGACCAGATTTTAGAAAGTTGTTCAGATATTTAAAAGTTCCCTTACTTCACTGAGAACAAGCCAGTTTAAACAATTAAAAAAAAAAAATTGGTCTAAATTTAATTTGTTCGAATATTATGAAAGAAAAAATAATCCAGGCATTTTCAGCCCTTCATGCTGCAATTAATAGGCAAAGTTTTGCTTCTGTGTCTTTGATTTTTTTAAGGTGTCTTGTTTACAGGCTAGTATTATTTAACCATATACATTCATTTCCTAGTAAATCCTTACTTTATTTTTGCATTGAAATAATCATTAATTAATAGTAATTTGATACAAGTTGAGACAGAACACCAGCTTGCCGCACTCCGGTGTATACTTCCTAATGGACTGAGAAACTAAATGACCCAAATCTATTGAAGTACTGCAAGTAGAGAAACTTTTTAATTCATATTACAAAATTATTTAAGAAATTGATTTTTACCATAAATAACGCTGCTCCTTTGCTGTTGTACTTCTTTTTCTGAGATGATGTTGTGGAAAGGGGGTATTTTCTTTACCACTTTTTGCATCAAATAAATTTTAGTAGCTTTAACAGAAAAAAAAAAAAGCTGAGCAAACCATTATCTTAACAACAATCTCTCAAATATGAGAAAAGGAAGCAAAAGCAGAACTGCTGGGCTGGATCATGTCCCTGAATGGATATTACATATAATCCTAGTGGCTGCAAGTACCAGTTCTTCATAGGCCTCCTGCAGCAACAGCCATGCTGGTCCTACTAGTCATCCTCTCTCAGAAAGGGAAGAGTGGTAAGAAACCTACTGGACCGCCAATATATTCTTATGGGTTTCAATCAAGCATCACTGGCTTTCTTCCCTCAACTTCTCGTGACAATATCTGCTGGTGACTTTACACTGCTGCTTTTCTTCCTCTAGAGGGTCAAAATCCAATTTCGTACTTAAATTACTTTGTTCCACTCCACTGGTCTGTGACTGGTTTAAAAATCTTCCAGGAGCACTGCTTGTCCTTCTTGCAAATTCAGACTTTGCTCTTCCCCTATAAACAAACAAACAAACCAAACAAACGAAAATCCCAACTCCTCCCCACATCCCCTTTTCAAAAATATAATAATGATAATTCGTATCAGGAGAATTATTTAGCACTATCCAGTCTTAGTACAGCTTTTGTTGAGAAAACTGTAGCTTATACAACTCTGAAGTGTTTATTAGAAAGCTTTCAAAAAGATATCTTCGTTTCAGGAAAAGAAAACTTAAATCAGTTTAGCAGATACAGATGTTCACAGCACAGAGACTGAAATGGTTAAAAATGATCTTAAGGAGCAAGTAGCTCACAGAGTTAGCAAAATAATTAACTTTTTCCTTTCTTTTACAGAAGAACACTAATAGCTGCTCTGGTTTCCATGCTTACTAAGACAAAATTTTGTCGTGTGTTCTTGGTTTTGCTTTTTTTTTGCTCTATTGCTCCACACAGGTTTTAATTAGTGCTTCTCCTTGGCTACAAGTGCTTCACTTTGAAATACAAAGCTCTTAAAAAAAAAACACCACCCCGAAAAAACAAAACCCCCAACACCACATCACTGGAGGGGAAAATGGGAAGTGATACAGTGCAGCTGCAGCGATCTGGTTCTGCTGTTGTCCTCCCCCATCCCCAAATCCTCTGCATAATTTCAATCGTTAGTCGATGAACCTTTGGCAGGCCTTCTTCCATCGGCAGGCAGTACACCACATATCTCTGTTCTCCATCCCATAGACCTTCCGACACTTTTTCCCCTCCCCTCTAGGCTTCCTGTCAGAGAGAAAGGGAAGCTCATTAAGGAGATGCTTTAGTAGGTTTGCTTTTCACCCTAAAATCAGGACAACAATCTCAACGGAGTGCAGCAGGCAGAGACCCCTGGTGTTTCCAAAAGGATTTAGGCTGCTTTCAAGTCAGCTGGGAGCTAATGAAGCAGACAGACAGACATGGCTGTGACTCCACAGCTCTGAGGGACCAAGCCTTCTCCTCACCTGGCTCCGACAGCCTCTGCAGCAGCTGCTGAGCCTGCTCCTCTGCTCATGGGATGATCCCTGACTTCAGCCAGCAACTAAACCTGGACTAATAAACTGTAGTTTAGCCACATGAAATGCCTTGATGGACAGTCATAGCTGTTCCACAGTACAGGCCAGGTCACATCAGGCAGAAGTGCTGCAGAGCTGCGGTAAAAATACTTGGCATAGCATCAGATCTTGACAAACAGCAGGTAGCAGCTACGCCAAAGAGGAGAAAAGCTACCAGCTCCTAAGCTTGCCACTCCTTCCTGCACAGTTTGCTCTGAGCTCACTGACTTAAAAAACAAAACAGTGAGTGAAAAGTTTTAACCCTTACCCTCACCTGCAGCACGTTCACATGTGCTCCTTCTTTGTCATCCCCAAAGCCAGCAAGGCAGGCAGCACCTGCTGTTACAGCTATAACAACTGTCCTGCTTCCCATCTTACAGCCACACTCAAAAGTTTGCAAGTTTAGAAAATGATCCGAGTAACTGTTAAAATGGAACTTTTTTTATTCTACACCCAGCAAGCCAGCAAACCTGAGGAGCAAAGCTTCACCAAGCAACCCAACATTCACTACCAGCAGTGCCAGTTGTCGAGGCATCTTTAAATGAAATAACTGTACTGACAGAATTGTTTAATACTGGTATTATATGCTGCATGGCACATGTGGGAATTGCCTGGTGACTCCTCTCTTGCATGCCTACACATTTTCTGATTACCAAACATTAATTAATGGGCACAATCCATGAACTGGGGAGGATTCTGAGTTTGGTTTGTAGCATATGCAATGATCTGAGAGTCCTGAAGAAAATTAAAAGCATGAATTTTTTTTTGTCTCATTTTAGGGTATAGTCATCTTTAGGACTGGGAGAAATAACGAGTTTCTTTACCAGAAGAAATTCAGCATCACAGTTTGATTTTTTAACATAATTTTTGAACACTTTTAAAGTAGGTTCTGGTCAAACATCAGTTAACTTTAATGGAAGTGAATGCAGCTTATGTCTAGGAAGACAAGGTATAAAAAGCTCTGCCTTGATCTAATCTATTGTGAGATATGTTTTTTTATAATTCCACTGAAGTCAAATACCATTCTGACTGAATGGTGGTGAACATGTAAGATGGCCCAGCCTTTCAGGGAAAAAAGCAAAGCCACACAATGCAGTTCAGGATGCTTCAGCTGGGGCAGAGAATCTGGGCAGCACTGCTTTACAGGGTAAATTTAGGACTGCATCTGAACTCCAGATGTGCCTGGCATCAGGCATGCAGTTTTGCTTCACAGTCTGCCTTTTTAATTTTGCAGTAACTCAATCTTCCCCTGAACTTTACCTTTGATGGGAATGAAAAGCAAAATAGGTTCTGAATGCTTACTCTGAAGCATCCTACTAAGAAACTGCCTGACAACTGCAATTGGGGTTGGCAGTGTGCTTTTCCTGTTCCTTTGGCCACTGACATCTTATTTACTGAACACCCTCCAGGTTGTGAGGCTGCTGATGTGTCAGCAGGAGCTAATGGTCCCATACCTCAAGCCAAATGCTACTCTAGGCGGTGACGAAAGAACTGTGTGGGACTGTTTCTGCTCTCCACTCCCTGCAGGACGATTATGGGTTGGTGAAACCTGCCAATACAGACAAAAAGGCTGCTTATGAAGAACATACACATATGAATGCAGATTAAACACTTTTTCCCAGAAAATGCACATTATGATTCATTGTGGCAAGGATACCCAGGAAAGGTGATTACATAACATACAAACATAAGTAAGCCATAGGTTTATTTAGAAAATATGTCTATTTAGCATTAGGTACATTGCATCAGCTCCACTTTGTTTCCCTGTACTTTCAAGAGCTCCCCATTGAGCAAATCAGAATACAGATCAGCATCACTTTTTGTATTTGGGAAATAAATATGCATTCATTCTTAAGAATTCTGAACAGCTCTTAAGAAAACTGTCTCCAATTTAAGCAGAGAAAATAACTGGAAAAATAAACTTTGTCCTGTGTTGAGATCAATACCAGTAACCTGCTATGAAATAAAGGGATTCCCACTTGTTGCTTTCTTCTGTGACGAGGCATTCTTTGTGGAGAGACACCCTTGAAGAAGGGGTTTTGCTGCAGGGCAGTTACAGTCCCCTTGAGGTTTAATGGGAGTGCAAGGGAGCCCTTCTGATAAAGGCTGCTGACAAGAGATACTGGATTATCTCTTTCTTCTGCACAGTAACCTTTTCAGCAGGCACCCTCTTTGTGAATGTGTATAGTTTGGTCTTCTGAGACTTTCCAATGAAGTTTTCTACGTGAGCTTGGGGGCTGGCAACATTATTTGAGTAATCACATGGCATAATGCTTGCCCTTAAATAACTCCTAAATTATTTACCACTACAGTTTTATTTTGCTCCTGGGTAAAGACCACAACAGCTTTACATCTAAAACACTAGAATAAAATTACGCCCACTCGTTTTTTGCTGCATATTGAACGTACCAAGCTTCATTTGGGTATCTGGTGCACGGAGTCAGCCTCCTGCAGCCAGAACTGCAGATCTGGTCATAGCTCTCTGCACTGCTACAAGTTTTCACTCCTGCCCTTTTGAAGTCTTTACAACATTTGGAAGAATGGGAACTGACTGACCTGACTTGAAGAGAATTACTGTATGTGCTTTGATTTTTGACACAAAGTCTATTTTATATCTACTACACAGTAGCAAAAAACTAACTAATGCTTGTAATGGAGTACAGTCACTCTTTCAACTTTTACTCTCAGCTGGTAACTATGGAAATTTCTGATTTAACTGCATGTGTGGTTCACACTCTAAAGTTTAGACCATTACTGATACACAAAATATACCTGCAAAGCTTGAAAGAAACTTCCTTGCTCTCAGCCTGCTTACCATAAGTCATGTTTTATACTTCCAGAGACCACACTAGCTCCTTCTATCACTCCAGAATACTAAGGGCAGTTTGTTGTCTACTACTTCTTTTTCCAGTCTTTTATCAACCTGTACCCTTGTTTACCTAAGAATGATTGAAACACTGAAGATAAAATTCAAAGCAATAGCATTTTTCTGGTATTTGGCATTTACCACACACTGCACAGTTCTCCAGTCAAGTCATTACCAACAACCAGAGATCTCCAGTCATTCTGCTGGGGTTCTAAAACATTTTAAAAACCTGAAACTATTTTGTGTCTACCACTACAAACTGACACTCAATATATTAGATGGTTGTCATTGAACAGAAGAGTACTTAGATGACCTCCTATGTTATAAGCAATTATCCTGATTGCTTCCAAACACAGAACAGGCTTAAGCAGTAATTGGAGGGTGCAGACTCCCCTCACCCTCAACAGGGAGGGTGCCTGCACAATGGTTCCACCGCCTGGCACACCAAGGCAGCTAGACTGCACTGAAGGTGAATTTCGTGTATCTTGATAGACTTTGCAGCAGGTCTAAACAATACCAGTCAACTGTTCTCCTCTGCAGGGGACACTAGGAGCAGATTAACAGGAAGCCCTGAGAACGCAGTCCTTGCCCTCCAAGGCTTTTCACCACTGAAGTGCTGTTTAACACAGAGTGAAATGACATGTGTTTGTTTGAAGCAAGGGCCTGGAGTCTCCAGTTACAACTACTGGTGGGAAACTATGGTTACAGAGATTTGTGATCTGTAAACATCAGATTATCAAACTTAAAGATCTCGCCAGTTCAACCTTTTTGGGTTATGAGTAGGCAGGTAAAAGCCAGTATTACACAGTGGAGATCACACTAGTATTCAGGAAGACTTTTATCCTACATTACATAATTACATAAAAGTGGAACACTATGGTCATTATGTTAAGCCCTCCACTACCAACAGATACACACTCCACCAGGGCTCATTCCACTTGCATAACTTAATTCACCCTCCTTGTACGTCCTCAGGCTGTGCCCGATTTTTTTCTCCTAGTTCAGTCTCAAGTGGTAGAGCAAACATCATCCTGTTTATTCTGCTTCATGCAGAGAACAGTACCTAGCAGTGACTTATAACTGTGCCAACATTCAACCTCGCACCTGCAAAGTTATCTTAGGAAAATAGTAAGAAAAAGTGTATTTTTCATGTGCCGTGGGAATCTAACTTATGCATGATTGAGAGCACAAAGGAGTTTGAAGGTTCCCCTAATTACAGAATCAGAGAACCTAAACCTCCCCTGACTCAGCCTCATGCTGTTCCCTTGGGTCCTGTCACTGGTCACAGAGAAGAGATCAGTGTCTGCCCCTCTATTTCCTGTCACAAGGCAGTTGTAGACTGCAATGAGGTCTCCCTTCAGCCTCCTCCAGGCTGAACAAACCAAGTGACCTCAACCTCTTCTCCTCCTTATGACTACAACACTTCTAAATAAATGCCTGTGTTTAGATGCTGTGAATACCCCCAAGCCTGAATCAGCCACATACTGAACCCCGACTGGTCCAGCTGTATGTTTGGCTTGTTTAGAGGCACTCAGGAACCTGCTGATAAGCACATTCACATTCACAAAGGCCTGTCAGTGCTGTTCTGCTAAAGACTGTCCAAAAGCAAGGGCTTAATGTGAGTCATGATGTCTGAACACCCTGGTTCCCAGGAAAGCAAGCAGGGAGTGCTCAGGGTCATTGAAATTCAATGTCCACAGGAATGAATGTGGAAACACTACAGTATGTGTCAAAAAAACCAAAACACAAAAGGAGACTATTTTGAAATTCTGTCTCTCTTGTGGACCTAATTACTGACATACATGTCTAGAAGAAGACTGCTCAAAACCAGGATACAAGAGCCTTCTAATGGGTCAAGGGCAGAATGGCCCCATTCCAACATCACTAGTAACATGAAAAAATGTGTAGACCTACGCACTTTTGTAAATCTGTACCTAATCTTTTCCTGCTCAGTAGTTTGTCCAGACCAAAAAAGTATTCCAAAGCCATTTTAGAAAACTGCTTGAATAAATATTAAGGGTCAGGCAAAAAGTAATGGTTTGGACTTACTCTCTGAAGTTCCCTTGGATGCTACAGACTTGCGTCTAATCCCAGGATCTGTGTATGTACACAATGGTATGAGTTTATAGCATGCTGACTCTGTCACTTAGTCTGGGCTTAAATAAACACCATCAGAGGAGGAGAAAATCCCCTATAATAAAGCTTTTCTAAAGTAGCTACACTCCATGTAAGAGTGGGAATTAAAAGAGCCCCGTTGTTATATAGCAATATCTAATTTACTTTGAAACAGGAGAAATAAAACTTTCATTTAATATACTGGTATTTATTTAACATCATTTGGCATCTGTACCCTCACTTACTGCACCTAATTTTTCACTGCAGGCAAGCTTTTGTAATTCATAAATGATCGCGCTGATGACAGAATAGTCAAATGTGTGCAAACCTAAAAGATTTTTTTCTTATTACTTTTTTCTTTGTTGAACAGCCTTATAAATGTTGTTAGAGATGTAATAGCAATTTATATGGTTCCCTGAGCAGTTTATAATTCTGCATCAGTGCTTCCCCAGGCTTTTGTATTGGGAGTATTTTCAAATTGTATTTAAATCACTGGCATCTCCATACAATTCTCAGAAAGTGATTTGGCATTTCTTAAATTCTTTTGAGAACTCTCTAGTCTACAGCCACTGATCAGTGTTGTTGCCTGAACAAGTAAACTCGATATGTACATGTCTAATCCTGTCCTCTTAAGTTTCTGATTTACAATTGGCTAATTGCATTTTTAGATTCCTGGCACCAGTTTTTGCTACACCACAAAAGGAGCCAGTTTCATAATTACTCCGTATCAACCCCATTGTTGGGAAATCAAATTCTCAGGGAACTTTGCAGATAGCACGCTCTGTCAAGGCACTCTTGTTGAAATTGCTGCCAGCATGATGTCTTTCACTGTTAGTTGTTCCTTGATGGAATTTAATAAATATTCATTGGCAGAGTGCATTGTAATTGATTCAGCCACTTTCATTTTTTATCAGCTCTGCAGGATGCCACAGCCTCTGCAGAAAATCTCCAAGATTTGCCAAAGGTTGACAGTAAGAAGCTTTGGAGATTCACTTGGTGAAGAGAAGGGAGGGAAATAGTATCTCTTATCGCCTTGTCTAATATTCGCTGTCATGAGAAAAAAAGATGTATGGTTCTTTGGATAAGCAATGTGCCTTATATAACACACTTTAAAAATTCACAAATTCATAAAGTGAAATATTAAATGAGATGTTATGATATCAAAAAGGTTTATGATTAGAGAATATAAATTTATAATGAAAAATTATTTCCAATAAAACGAGGATACATTACATTACTATCTATTTATATTTATTATAGAGATTTTCCACTATTCATAATAGTGATTTATATTGTTTTTTCAGCATTCTCCATGCCAGGCACTAGAAGCCGAATCCCTCCGAACTCTTCATAAAGGTTTTTCACTCCCTCTCCATACCCACACCTACAGCATGTATGGTTAGGGCCACTGGAAGTCTATGTTTAGGCAAACACTGCATTTCTGCAGTCCTGTCCATGGAATCAGGCTTTTTTGAGGAAAGGGTCAGTGTTAAATTTACATCTAATACATCTTCATTAAAAAGTTGTCAAAGTGCAACATATATTAATATCAAAATGCAATAGATATTGAATGCATTTTCTGTATAAAACAACAATTTTCTGCTATCAGTAGGGGTTACCTATCTGAAGCCTCCTAAAGCTGGACTTTGCGTTTCATCTTACTTTTTCTTTCAGTTGCCTTTCAAGAGTCCATTTAGGTAACAGCCCTACTGCCTGAATCCAACTGGCCTGTTAGCATAACCATCACCTCACTCATTTTCCATCTAGTTTTTTAAGAAAAGGAGCACATAAGTGCCAAGCTTTTCATATATTGGAATGTTTTGTAAGCATATAGTTAAAAAAATATACTATAGATTAACTTCTTTTTTTGTAGACAGTGATGCAAAAAAAAAGTAAATGTACTGAATTAAAGAGATTGACAAAGGTGTTAAAACCAGCCATGTTGGCAAACTGAGGCATGAATTTAATTTATTTCTTTTTGGTATCTGTTATGTCACATTTACTTCTACCACTACACACTGTGAAACAAAACAAAAAGATCTAAAACCTTTTCCTTCTTTTTTTGATGTTCACTTACTGGAATGCCGGTGAAGGTAACTGGAGGCGACTGCCAAGAGATGCTAAAGCTACTGCCATTGGGAGTGAATTTTGCTGACCCTGGAATGTTCACCGGAGGAGTGGCCTGTGTGAAAAGAAAATATTATTCCAGCAAGAAGAGCCATTCTTCTTCCAAAGCATTTCTAAGGATCTTTCACTCCTCAAAATGGTAAATCTATGAGAGACTTCCCAAGGCAGAAAAAAACTACATGGTGACAAGCATTTTACCCTTATGAGACGGATAATGATGGATAAGCCAGTAAGGAAGGGACACAGTTATATTTATATATCATTGCTCCTAAACCTTGTTTAGACAAAGATGATCGCTCTTAGCTTCTAAAATAATGACAGCAAGAAGCAAAAAATACTACAAATGATCACCTGTTCCACGGTGATGAACAAGGCCGTACTTAAACTGACAGCAGCTGGTTTACACAACTGAAGTGTGGATAGTGAGGCTTCTTGGACAAACCCAGTCAACAGTAAGGCCTGGCCATTTCTGGTTTATCAGATAAATGTTAACAATCATCCCAATTAAAACAGTCCTTCCTATGAAACAAGGAGCTGAAAATTGTCCTGGGGATCCAAAATCAGCTCTTAAATAGTAAGCTGAAGCAACTATTTAAGGACTCCTGGGGTCCTTGAACTTTTATGATCTTCCCATCTAGGATGTAATACCCAGTGCTGCCCTGGGGTGCAAAACACGATAATCTGAGCTCAGATAGTTGTGCATCTTTCATTTTGTGCCTTTTCTTTGGTTTTCTCACTGGATTATGAGTCCTCAGGAATTCTTTCCTGCCTCCTTTTGAATCCCATTTACTTTTCAGAATCAGGAAATTCAGAGCGGTGAAGCTACCCTGCATAGCAGGAGTGTGAGCAGCCACCATGAACACAGGCTCACTCTGACCCTTGAATTTCAGGTTTTTTACATCACAAAAAAAAAAATCTCTCCTTAAACTTATTAAGAACTTGCTAAAATGAGTTTTCACTTCTGGCTTTCAGTTGCCTGTGCCTGACAGTGCTGCAATACACTCATTTAAGTAGTGTTTGTGTTTGAGGCTGCTGAAATTGTCTCACTGCTTCAGGGGAGAGAGTTCTTTCCTGAGCTGCCGGGCACAGAGGAGTGATGACAAACTACAACCTGATACTCCCCACTAATCTTCAGAGTAAACAAGTGCTGAAGCAATCCCCTGGAGTCTCTCCAAGGAAAAGTAAGTGAGACCACCAGATGCCTCCATGTAGAGCAGCAATGCTCCGTGGGCTGTCGAGCCTGCTGACAGCTCCAAGAGAATCCACACAGGCATGCAGAGCAAACATCCGCTGAGCTCCATAAAATATAAAACCTTTGCTGAAAGGTATCAAGAAAATCTGGCAACTCCCCTGTTCAAACAGGACAGAAAGAACTGGAGGAAGCTGGATGAGCACTGAGATGGCATTGCCTCTGCTCAGTATCCCACAGGGGTATCAGCTCAAACCTGGGGTCACAGCACAGCAACTTCCTCAGGTATTTGAAAAAGACCTGAAAGGGAAATCCTAGATGCTGAAAGAGCCTGCCCATAGTTCCTCTGTAGCTAAATTTAATACGTACAGGCACAAGTTTTATAAAGAAACACAAAGTATGTGAAGTTTAAAATCAACATTATTCGCAGTTGCCTGAAATACCACAGTGCTCAATTCTTTTTTCTCAGTGCCTAAATGTCTACATCAGACATGATCAGACTTAGTCAACCACCTTGTTCACTTGTTTCCCAGATGCGCATCTTTGTTCATCAAGCACTGTCCCCTTTTTTAGGTTACCATTTTAGACAATCTCTTCCATGAGGTACGCAACCATAACATTACAATGAACTGAAGAGTTTCTATACCCCAACTTCGCTTTGCTTAGAGACCTCCATCTAATTTCCAATCAAAATATATTCAAGGGTAACTTACAGTTATTTTTTGTGCCAACACTGTCCTTATATTTGAAATAACACATACTCATCCTCTTCCCCTTTCACACTTGTCCTCTCACTTTCTTCCCAGGCAACATCACATCCTCTCCTCACCCCTGCTTGCCTGAGGTACCAGTCCCTGGGCTGGAGATGCTGTCCATGTCCTCTCTGCCCTTCTTCTTCAATGCTGATGACTTACTTTCTACCTCTTCTGATTGGAGCCCATCACATTGAATTTGGTTGACCAGAATTCTACTCAGGATCTTAGCTGAAGTTATATGTGAGTCTTATATAACAGCATTAAAATTCCCTGTCTCTCCTAGATATTTCTTACCCAAGAGAGCTGACAACTATTTTTTTTCCCCTTCACAGCTCTACTGTTGTTGGCTCATGGTCATTCTGTGCTTGATTAATAAACAGAGGTGTCCTTCTCACATAATTTTCTAACTACCCCAGTTTATAGCAGAAAAATCTCATTCGTTCCTTAAGTGCATGTTCTGACATTAAACTGCATCCAAAACCTATTATTCTTAAGATCACCCATGTAAGCATGATATATAACTCCCTTACTGCTGATTTTGTTATCAGCAAACTTTATTATACTATTTGTGTAGTACCAAAAATGATTTAATGAAAATGACGTCAGGGCCAAGAACAGCTTTTCATTCAACTCCACTAACATTCAAAATAACTCACTGCTGTTCTTCGTGACTTTCCAGCTCTCTCTCCTACACTAAATTTAATCTCTAGCATAACAAATACTGCTTATATGTTTTAAGATCAAATGCTCTCCTTCAATCCAGAAGGATTTGTTCTTCTATACTGCTTCCTAGACTGTTCTAGTATCATCTTTCTCTGGGGTTCCTCCACTGCAGTTAACTTCAACAGCAGTACTTACCATAACTTCTTCAATTATTTTTCTAAATTTTTCCTCACCCATAGGACTGGGTCAGAGAAGAGTGTCAGGACTTGCCTGCTCACTTCCTGTTTATACCTTTCTTACTGCAAGTAGTCTACTTGACAGTTTCCAGTCATACAGGAAATAGCAATTAACAGATACTGTTTAGGATTCTTGCGATCCAGCTTTGGGGTCCATATTCTTTTTTTTTTTTTTTTAATAGGAATCCTGGGATGAACATTATTTAGCCTCCCTTACCAAAGTTCCTTGAGCTGTGAATTTTGCCTCTTCACTCCCAGTGTTTCCACTTTCTCCTCTGGCTGGTGAGAGCTGAATCTCCACCCTCCCTCCTGGCTCTTCCTGCAGGACTAGAGGGATCCCGGCACAGGATACCACTGACCTGCTCTGCAGAAGCTGCCTCGCTTGCAAGGACAGCCTGAATGCTTGAGTAGGGACCTTGCCTCCTGATTACAAATTGAAAGCTGTGAACAGTGTACTCTTTCACTCCTCACTGATGAAATAAAGTCTTGAAACCAGAGCAACTTGAAAAGGAGACATGGCTCAAGCACCTGTAGTCTCACGTTATGGAATACATCAATTCAAATGCAATTTGAGTGCCTTAAACACTTGAATTAGGATTCCCTTAGTCAAGTACTTTACTCAGAGGCTGCTTATCAAACAGGATAATGTGAATCTCCAAAGAGCAGCACAAGTAGACCGTCACTACTGCAAATCCCAAATGAAGTAAGACTCTTCTCAGTAGCCTAGACTTGGTGCCTCACTCTCTGAGACAGGGCTTCAGCTACATTGAGATAAAGTCCTTCTCCTAGTTGGCTTGATCAGTCCCCAGGTTGGTGTGTTACATGATGCAGCTTCCACCTGAGATATCAAGCTTCAATGTCTAAAACAAGCCTGTGAATTCTGTATGGTTCCCTCTGGCCTTTTAGTGGGTCTGTTCCAAACACACAAAGGTTTTATCTGCACAATGCCGTATATCAAAGTTATTGCATCTGATAAATTTAACAGAGTTAATTTCTCGGGTGCATACATAGGTCATGGACCACACTACTTCAAAGCCTCTACCCCTCTTTTCTCATACGGTATCCACCCCAAAACATGTCAAATTTTAGTGCACTATTAAAATAATGCCTTCTGTCCAAACTTAGTTGGAAGGTTTTGGTACAGCAATTTTTGCCATTTGAAAAGCATTACCTTTAAGAGTAGGAGGATACCATCTATGCCTTTTCTTTCTTCTTGCTCTACTTCACATATGCAAACTGATACCTCACACTGTACAAACCAAGGAAATTAATTGTTCCTGGCATCCCTCACGCACTTGTCTACACACACATCAAGTACCAGCAGAGCTGAGATGAAGACTCTGTGAGGGATTCACCTGATTTAAGTATTTTTACAATGCAGAAGACCACATCTGAGCACGGCACCTTGTAGTGGGATCACGGAGCAATTCTTCTCAACCTAAAGTATGCACCTATGTGTGGCTGGATAAACAGCACCCAAAATCTACAGTGGGCACATAAACAAACAAACAATTAGCTCAGAAGCAGACATCTACGTTTAAATGAAATAGCCCCCTTGGGCTGTCCTTGAAAACTTTCCAGCCCATTAAAATCAATGGCTTTCTAAACTTGGCTCCTTAAAACCCAACACTGTGATCTGACATTTCTTTATTTATTCATGGCATCACTGTAGTTCTTGGAGCTCACTGACTGGCATTACCTGGTAAGCATGGTCCGTGTGTACGAGGTAGAGGTTGGTAGGAGCTGAGCGGCTCAGAGGTGTCATCAATTTAGTCTCAGTTTTGGCACAGGAAGTTTCAGGACGGATTGCATCTTGGGTGGGAAAGGAAGGAGGAGATGCTAAAGATGGAGAGACTGGGGAAAGACTGCTTAAGCCATCAGCTACTGAGTCCGTGTTGAGCCTGATTTCTGTATAGTAAAAATCCTCCTCTCCATCACTGTAGTCAGACTCTCCTATACGTCTGTATCAAGACAAAGAATGAAGAACTGATTAAATAAAAGCAAAAGTGCCAAGGTAAATTTTTAATTCTAGATGCATGAGCAAATATATTCATATTGTAAATAAATTAATATTCGAAGTTTCAACCCTACCTACTTTATCAGCATTCTGGCTGCAGGGAAGGGGCAGAGGAAAAGAAAATCATCTAGTCTGAGGGAAAAGAAGTAGGAATTACTTTTTTTTTCTTTCTGTGTTACTCGTGAATAATTCTTTGACCTTGGAATAGATGTTTGACTCCTTCATCTTAAATATCACCTTCTCATTCCTAAAGTTAACAAGAACCTCAATGCATTCTGACTTTGGCAATGACAGAGCAGCCACAGAATGACAGGTAAAGATAACAGACACAGGCAAGATATACTTTATTAATGTTACAGCAAATAATATGTAATCTTGTAATAAGTTACTTAAATAGACCAGACATAGTTATGGCTGTCATTCACCATAACTTTCCTTAGCATAACATGAAAATTTGCTAGAAAACATGCTCACCATGCAACTCACTGAGATACAGGTAGAGAAGGGACTTACACAGGCTGGCTTGCAAGGGCTAGGGCTTTCTGGTCCAGAAGCAGACTTGTTGAAGGAAGGGATGTAGGTTTAATTGCCTTAACGTTTAATCTGCTGCAGGTTTGAGTGCAAACACTAGCACTGAAGCAGCCAATCAAATGTCTATTGTAGCACATTCATAAAATCCACACGCTATACGCAGGTAACTCACAGCTCACACGTGTATTTCCTCCCAAATCTTCCATACAGGAAATCTGAGAGCTCTAAGTGTCTTCCTGCCTGCATGTCCATATCAGGGCTGAACACTGGTCTCCCTTTTCCCGTGCATGTACCCCAAAACCATCCCCTAGCCAGTTTTTCAGCCTGCTTGCCTGTATACCTCTACCTGGGGTCCTCTCACCACCTTACTCAATAGACTAGTTGAGAGAGCATGGATCCAGCAGGTTTGAAAGGCTCTACCAGAAGTACCATCTATCAGAGTGTAACTAGCTACTCACCAAAACTCCTCTCTCAGCAAAATTACTAACTCCAAATTCCAGGAAAGTTCTGCGGTTTACTTCTCCCTCTCCTATGCCACAAAAAGGATGTCCCCATAATATAAAGGGCACAGCTATGTTCCTAACTGCATTTTGAGAGAGATTTTCTCTGTTTCTGATAGCCTTACTCTTAAACCCAACAATAACTGCTATGACCTTTTCAAGACTATCCTGAGCTCCACATCAGATTAACTCCACATGGTCACTTTAATTTTTAAGCAGTGGGTAACACAGGCCCACACAACAAAGATGGATTTTCACATACCTAACAGGAGAAGAACATGAGTCTCCACTGTAACTATGTATGAGATAGCTAGATTGCTCAGTAAACTGCACAGGAGACTTCAGTTGCAAACTAAAGCTCTGAAACAAACTTGTATCCTAAAAGATTCATTTGCTTTTGCTTCAAGTACCATACCCGTGCATCCTGGTTTTGGCTGGGATAGTTTATTGTCTTCTGAATAGCTGGTACAGTGCTGTCTTTTGGATTTTGGATGAGAATAATGTTGCTGCTGAGCAGGACTTTTTGGTTTCCTGTGCTCCAACAGCGAGCAGGGGCACAAGAAGCCAGGAGGGAGCACAGCCAGGACAGCTGAGCTGAACTGACCAAAGGAATATTCCATACCACAGAATGCCGTGTTCAGTATATAAACTGGAGGGAGTTGGCTGGGAGCCACCAATTGCTGTTTGGGGATGGGCTGGGCATTGGTCAGTGCGTGGCAAGCAATTGTATTGAGCATTACTTGTTTCTTTTGAGTTTTATTCCTCTCTCTCCTTTTCATTACAATTATTATTATCATAATTATTATCATCATTAATGTTATTAGTTTTAATTTTTTTTCAATCATTAAAACTGTTCCTACCTCAACCCATGAGGTTTATTTTTTTTCCTTTGATTCTCCTTCCCACCAGAGAAGGAACAGGATATTGAGTAAGCGGCTGCATGGTACTTAGTAGCCAGCTGGGGTCAAACCATGACAACACGGAATTGCAGCTCAGTTTCTTTTTTTTTTTTCAGGTTTCTTAGGTGCTTTGTGGTTTTGGGTTTTTTTTTTGGCATTAATTTTTTTTGGTTTTGCATTAATTCAACTCAGAACTGGTGCAAGCACCTGGCCTAATGTGAAACAAAGCTGGAAAGTATTCATGCAAGACCCTGAAATGTATCTTCCACACAGTGTCATCCTGGACGTGATGTGCACACAGCACGTACCATGTAAATGCCACTGAGCTGTGAGGCTGATAGGGAAGTGCAGTGTGACCTAGAGCTGTATCTGACCTTCTAGCAAAGTTCACAGAACTTCAGAAAAGAAAGTGCCTCACTGCTGGAATAAGTTCTCATTCGCCTTGACCCACTACTCCACCAATTCCTCGGAAACACAGGAATATGAGACAGAAAAACCAAGGACAATCCAAATCATCTCCCCAACCAAGTGTAAGTGCTCCCCTGCTAGACCAAATCCTTTAGACTTCCGAAGAGACTGCTCTCTTACCCAAGGTGAATGGTCCGTATGTGTTTCTGAATCCCTGCAGCTGTGCTCAGTACCTTCCCACAGTTTTTCCACAGGCATTTGAACATCACCTTCATGGAGTTCTGAAAATTATGAATAAAGCATGATTAGATATATGGAAGTTGTATGGATATTAGGTAATATTTCTTCACTGAAAGGGTTGCCAGCATCAGAACAGGCTGCCCAGGGAAATGGTTGAGTCACCAGCCCTGGAGGTATTTAAGATGTGTAGATGTGTAGCCTGGGAACATGATTTAGTAGTGGACTTGGCAGTGCTGGGCTATCAGGTGGACTCGATGATCTTAAAGGTCTTTTCCAACTTAAACAATTCTGTGATTCTATAATTATATGAAGATAAAAGAAAACCAAACCATCTGAAACAGATAAACAATTACCAAACACTGTGAAGGTTCCTCCAAATTAGTGATGATCTAATAGTTTCTGTCAAATGTGTCACCCTACTGAATTCAACAGAATCCCAGTGAAAAGCTGCAGGAGCAGCTTGTGACAAAACTTTACCTCTATTTTACCTATTACACTGGCAAAGCTTTTCATTTTAAGTTCCAGTTTGTCTCTCCACTAAAGGACGTAGATGAGATAAAAACTGTCTACACTTCTTTCAAAAAAAGAAAACAGGTGAGGACTTCTCATTTAATGCAAAGCACCTTCTTAAATTCAGGTCTTTCTAAAGCAAGCTCGTATAAATGTTTCCAATAATGGAATTTGCAAAATACAGAAAATATTGTGCCAGAAAACCATAGCTTTAGCCTCTGCTATGTCAATATTCATGCATAAGCTGGAAAAAACTGCTTTTATTGCACTCAGAAGCTGCTGTTACCCTTATTTGGACAAGAGAATGAGAAGCCACCTGGCTGTGTTCAATATGTAAAAGAAAAAAAAGTGCATGTTCTCATTTTAATATTCTTTTTATATTTTTTACTATAACTTCATTGATCTAAACTGAGTTATCACTGATATCATTGTTATCATTGACCTAAACTGAGTTATTTAGAGCACAGCCAACAAGGTTATAAGCATCCCAATCTTAGATGTTTTGAAGACTGGAGAAAACCAGTCTTAATGTAAAGCACACTGTGTGGTAACAAACAACACAGATGTTGCAGAACTCGGAAGATATTTAAAAGCTAATTTTACTCAAACATGAAACCAATTTTGTACATTTTAAATTTCAAAAAATCTAAATAGTCTATACTTCTCAAAAGTAATTTTCTCTGACTATTACAAAACACATTATTAACATCAGGAAGACCTTCAAAATACAGTATTACTATTATGTAATTTTAGTTACATGTAAGAGTAGGTGAATATCTTGAACAAAAGTTAACTTGGTGCTTTCTTCACTTTGGACCCTTTGGAACTGCATGCCAGTGGATAGTTTCAGCATTTGCTAAGAAGTTGATGATTAGAATATAACTTACAAAAAAATAATCTCAGTTGATAGGCTTTCTAAAATATACGTTGATTGCAGTAACATTCTCATGCTAGACTTGTCAGTCTAACATCTGTTTGAAAGTATGGTTGCTAAGGGATTTGGGACTTGAGGTACCTGATCACAGTGTTTATATGAAAAACTTGTACTTTGGCATAAATTGCACATAAATTCCATCTCTATTCTTTTATTTCATGATACAACTATCATTCAAATAGATACAGAATTCCTTTTCCCCTCCAATTAAATATAATTTATCTAGCAATTCTGACCAACACTTTTCTTACTTTTATAACATAATACTAAATACTACTGTCAGCTCAAAACCACACAACCAACCACCAACTATGGCAACAAGATGAAGGCCATGCTTATCATTTAGGTTTTAGGAATTCCAATGTGACATCACGAACACCCTGTGCATCTTTATGAACACAGAATGGTTTAACATCCATCCTCAACTTGAGGGCGAAACCATTTTCCTAGCTCCACTAGGGTTTTGATGCCACAAGATCCTTAACTGTCAGTGCTAGGAGTTTGCAAAAACCAGTGCATTTTAACATAGTCAAGTGAGAGCTCACTGAGTAGAAATAAAGAACAAAACCCATGCTTCCATTTCTGACTAGTCCAAAAATTGCCTATTCAGGTTTAATGTTTTATTTAAGAAAATAGTGGAACATAAATGGTTTGGTGAGGAACAACTATATTAGTGGAAACTTTTAAGCAAACAACTTTCTTAAAGGGAAGTGCCTCCTAACATGACATTCTCCAAACATGAAATGGAAGAAACTTTACTGAGTAAAAGTACGGTTACCAATCACTCTATTTACAGGCTTATTCCTTCTGACTTTTGCAGCCCTGAAGAAGAAATAACCTGAACATTTTTATTTCAGCTTCTAAAGGTGCAAAGTTGTACTTAAATCAAGTATTCTGCTGGGGCCAGAATAAAAAAACCTGCAGGAAAGCAAGTTAATTTATAAAACAAATTTTGGCATGGAATGTTATTGTTTATCTACACAAAACATTTGCCATACAAAGCAAAATCCCTGTGAACCAGAACAGACAGTGTAACAGACCTATAGTGGGTGCATTAATAGAAATATTTGAAAGCAACTTAGAAAACAATAAAGATGGCAGCTGCAAACCCATCTGTCTCATCACAGCTGAGCAGTGAGAGTGATGCGACTAAGATGAACATTAACTGAGAAGCAGAAGGCAAACCAGCACACTTCTGCACCCCTACTCTCCTGTCCCACATGCCCCCGAATCATCTGTCTTTAGTTTAACAGTCAGCTATAACTACTAATTTATCGTAACAGAGGTGTCCTCCAAAATACTTTTCCTTCTTAGCAAGACACACAAACATTTTAAAATCCTCTCCCACGATCAAGGGAAGAACAGCACGGGTCAGCAAATAAGCAACTTCTGGAGTAAAAGGATAAATCTGAACAGGTTTAAACGATCATTAAAACTTCTTCCTGCTGGTGATGAAGCAATTAACTGTCTCAGACTGAGCCAGAAACAAATTCACTAAGGGGAATAAATTCTCTGTTTTTTCTCCTTACAAAAAGCCCTTTTTCATCTTGGTATGTAAAAATCTGTCCTGTTGTGTTGGGAGGGATGGAAACTTGGACTAGTGCCATCTCTTTGTTTTCTTTTTCTTCCAGAGGAGCTTGCTTGCTAGCATAAGAGTGCTTTTTGGGGTTAGTTTTGGACCTTTCTTTTTATTTTACATCATGTTTTATTTAGTCTGCTTTTGCACTCTGACTGAGGATAAATTTGGCCAATGCTAATACTCTATCAAAAGCCACCAAGCTGAGCTCTCTCTCTCTCCTTCTTTCACTCCATATGTTTGTGCAGAGAAAGCTTCACAGTATTAAGGTATCTGACATGCTGTCAGACAAACAGCACTTTCAGGGAACAAGGATTATTAAGGCCATATCCAGTTTCTGTGATGACATATAAATGCTGCCTGTTGCATTCTGCACACAGAGAATTTGTCAAAGCAGGACAGAAATCCCATGAATGGCCAGAGGCAACACCTTCTGGAAATAACTCTAGTGTTTCCTGAGCAGGAGGCTCTGTAGAACCTCACCATCTGCCAGGAAGTATGTGGTGCTGACGGCAGCATGTGTGTGCAGGAGGTGACCAGGTTGAACGAGACACAGTGACTAGGCTAAGTACCTATGTTAACTGGATGCCAAGGAAGAATACAGAGACAGAGTTACTGGGTGATTTCTCACAGCAAAATAAGCCTATCAACATCCTATCTGCCCATGGGTATGGAATTTAACATGAGGCTAACCTTTCTCTTCCTAGGGATGGGTTCATCGAAGAGAAGGTTGCTTGTTTCACCTTCATCAATACCATCATCTGGCTGGGAAGGTGTCCGAAAAGTTTTGAAGCTATCAGCTGACAGAGGTGGAGATGGGGTGGATGGGTTGGACTGGTCACTGGGAGCATTCCAGCTCCAGTATCCACTGCTGCTGGTACTAGAAGGCACAAATCCTCCTTCTTTCCAAGATCCATTCAGGGATTCTGTCAAGAAACAATAACAACCATCATTACAAGAGTATCACTGTTTCAGGGCTAAGGAGCTCTTTTTTCTAAGGCTTAGATGCCATGTTGATAATTAACTGCATGTTCAATAAAGGAAAGTGAATGCATTGGATGTAGAAAGGACAACCATATCTATCCCACTGCACACGAATTACATATTCCACATTTGACTTTTTCTTTTTTTTTTAACAAACAAACAAACAAAAAAACAAAGACAAAGTAAAACGAAATGCTGGGTTTGGAAAAATAACCTGTTCTGGAGCATAAACAGCAAAAAATAGTCAGATACTGCATGCATGATTAAAAGAAAATATTTAAATTGATCTTTAGAGGTCCCTTCAAACCCAAACTATTCTGTGATTCTAAATATATCCTCAACTTTTAACAGGAACACGTGACTGTAGTGGGCCTGAGAGCGAGCCCCACATGGCCAATAGGAAAGGGGACGTACACTCTGAGCCCCAGAACGCTAAGCAGATCTGCAAAAACATGATCATCATCCCGGTATTAAAACATGAAAGAAAACCATAATTATACTCTATCGTCTCATAATCTCTCAGTACACACGCCTCCACCTACATGAGGTGGCATGTATCCCTTGGGATACCCCATTTTCTTCATACAGGTGTACTGATAGGCGTCTGGTTTCAGAAGTGGAACATACAGACATTGGATCACCTCCACACCTACTCCCTGGAGGAACCGCCTCCTCACGGCAGCAGTTCCCCTGACATGAGGAGGTAAGCAGACACAAACCAACAGGTTACACTCTACAGCACTGTGGGAGGGAGTAACAGCACTGCTCGCACAGTCCGAGGCACAGCTTGAGCCACGCTTCACATGCTGAGGTCCTCAGGCACTGGACATTCACACGTCGCTCTTCCCAGCCCCTAAAGGGCTTTTGGCAGGAGAGGAGCATGTAGGTCATCAGCTCAGCAAAGGCGTGGCCTGAGCACATCCAGTGGTGCAGCCACAGGCAGCTCTGCCAGAAGCCCCAGGTTCTCACAGGGCTTGAGCACATGTGCAGGGACGGTTTAGGTGCGGCTTCTCCCTAACTCAGGCATTGGAAGCTGCTCCCAATGACACTGTAGGTGCTTGAGCATTGTGCAATACCTGACTTTGGAGCTGGCAAGCAAATAACTTCTTATCTGTTCATGGAACAACATTTAAGTGTGAGAAGAGTCTTTTCAAGCCAGTGCCTGCCTTTAAGAGTTCTGCAGAAGTTACTCCTTCACTCCTTCTCAATATCTTAGAGGTAAGTTAACTAATGATATCAGCAAGAAAGTGAGCTATCCAAAGCTTACCCCAAAACCATCAAATTTTTGTGGTTTTTTCCTCCTAATTCTGTTGGATTTGGATGAAATCCTAAATCATTAACATCAGCTGCTCACAAAACAGAATGCAGTGCCCGCTTGAGTAGGCAGCAGCCAAGTCCCTGAGTTACTGATTTACTGAGCAGGGCTATGCAGCATAAACGGGATCAACTCTCCCCTCTACCCCTCCAGTTCCTCTTTGGAAAAGGACATATAGATTTCTGGTAGCTAATACGTTAACATATGAAAATGTCATGTTTTGGCTCATGATTACGGACTTCATGTGACTGTAATGAAAGTGGGTTTTGTCTCTTATAAGTATTTGTACTTCAGTCTTGTGCCAAAGCCAAGAAATACATCTGGTATCAACTTGTGACCTTAGCATAGCTTAGTTTCCATTTCTTAAGAAAAACAAAGGAAACAGCACTCTTTCAACTACTACTTTCTGATATATTTATGGTGGTACTTTGTATTCTCAGGGTTTACAGCTTCTCCTCACCTTGCTGAGAAAGAGATGCAAATCAAGAACACTTTTAAAGTAGTATGGAAAAGGCTGAATGAGGCTGACAACAGCAAAAAAACCCTAAACACTGGTTCTCATTAATGCTAACAAATCTGTCAATGTGAAAAAGTTTAAAATAAAAATAAATGCAACTTACTCTTATTTGGGGGCTCTCTTCACACTGCTGGAGTTGTGTGAAAGAGAACCAGACCAAATATTACTCAGCTGCAGGGAAACAAGGGCCAAACTCTGATCCAGTTTACATGGGTGATCATCCTCAATAATTCCAGTACAGATCTGTCTTTAATATTAATGCTAATGTTATTTTTCTTTACTGCTAGGAAAAATTCCACTTGTTTAAACAGTGTTTCTTTAATGACACTGCTCCTTACTGGTCTTTTTTGGAAAAGAATGTAGAAAGAACTAATCATTAGTACATTTGTTGCTCATATTAGTAGGATCAGAGCCTAGCCTTGCAACACCAAATGAGCTTTATATTATTAAGTGTTTACACTTTTATTTAAGTCCTTAGTATGTCTTAGTTAGTCAGGCAAAACTAAGATACTCAGGGAAAAGGTGCCCAACTACAGCTTCAAAATCTTGTCTGTGACTACTGAAAACATGTGAATTACTTTTTCAGGCTAGTCTTCCCAGATTTTGGGAAACAAGCAGACAAGCTGTGTGAAGAAATATCAAAGAGCACTCAGAATACACGAAGAAATATCAAAGGCAGCTAACAGCCACCATTTACCTATTAACAATTCAAAAGGCTTGTTGGGGAGCTACTGTGCACTGCCGCTCCTGACAAGTGTCAGCTGCTCAGACTGTTTGAGGCGGCAAGTACTGCCTTACCCACAGCGGAGCAGCTCCCCGGGAACAGGGATGCAGCAGGGGGACATGTGTGTGCCTCAGCCTCTCCAAATCCCTGCCTGGCACATCAGCACAGATCCATCTTCAGCTGTGAGCTGAGCAGCTGGAGAGCAGGTGTGTTTTTGTCCTTCTGCTGGCCTCCCCCAGGGGCTGGCAACCTCCTGCCCTGAGGCAGGACAGTCACTGGGGATGTCACTGATGGAGGTTTCCCAGGGCTCCTCAGAGCAGTGGTACTCCATAAACAGTTCTGGTTTTCCACACTGGAAAGCACACAAACAAGAGCCACGGGTGTTCATGGCTAGAATTCCAGCTAAATGGATAAAACTTACATTTTCTGGAAATAAACGGAAAACCACAGTGTTTGTTCAAAAATGTTTAAAGATGTGACATTTGGTATGAATTCCTTTTAAGAACATCGTTCAGTGGATTGCCTGAAGAAATACAAAGGCTACATCCCTCTTAATTTGCATCTGTAAGTATTCCTCAGTCTTCCACTTATTTACAGGAGAAGGGCATCTAGCGTCTATTTAGCAGGGTAAGTGAAAAGAAGAGCCAGTGTCATACAAACAGTGCTGAGGTATCCTAACAAGGGTGTCCTAATTTAAATTATTCATTAAAATAGAACACTTAAAAATTTATTGTAACTCCAGTCAAGCTTGCATAGATTAATTATGTTTAATTACCAAACTCTTTATTACCAACAATTTTTTTATTTATTTTTATTTCTGTGTCTTCTGCTATACCATGAATGAAGTAGTCTCTAAAGGGGTCATGGATCTGATGGAAAACATCAGACAGTTACAAAGAGCACAGGAATTGAGGGTCTAATCCTGCATCTGCAGAAGCAGATCTGTTGCTGTACAGATTGCCAGTGTGTGGCCTTTCAGCCAAGCGCTCTGATCTGAAAGTGCTTTGCCTCATTGTGGTTTTGGGATCTGATTTCCATGGAGTGGAGGACAAGAACAACTGCTATCACACTTACTGGATATGGCACTTGAGGACATGGTTCAGTGGTGAATGTGGTGGTGGTGCCAGGCTGATGGTTGGACTTAGTGATCTCAGAGGTCTTTCCCAACCTTAACCATTCTACAGTTCTAGGATTCTATATGTGCAAATGCAAACAAGTGTTTCAGTGAGGTCAGGATATCTTACACAGTGCTCATATCCCATTTATGGCATGGGGCATCTCCCATTTCATAAACTGGAGCCGTTACAGTTACAGAAAAGATTTCATTTCTGACAATGCTGCACCAAAGGCTTTGACTGGGTTTGAGCAAAGCTCAGTATGAACTCCAGCATACCAGAAGACAGCCTTTGTTCTCCACCATGGCCACAACCCCTGGACGCAAATCCCCAAATAAACGGTCCTGGCACCCCTCCCCGCAGCCCCTGGCTCCAAAGGCTTACCATTGGGTCGGACAGGAGGGCTGCGGACCAAAGGGCTGGTGGATAAACTGGTAAGTACCATGGCTGCTGTTACTTTATCCATGTCCAGTTCTTCTGAAGACTTTCTGAAACACAGTGAGTGGGAGGCAGGAAACACATCAGCAAATATTTAACTTTTTTTAGTTTGTTGGTTTTTTTTTTTTTTAAAGTTTTTTTTTAATACCAGCCCAAACCCTAAGCCAGCACAGCTCAGTAACAAAAACAAGCTGCTGCGCAGAGTTCTCAAAGCTTTAGTCTTCTGGCAACCTGAGCATATCAAGTGGCTACTATAAGCAAACTAGCTCAGTGTAAATAGGAAAAGAAGCGGGAAAAGAGAATACATCTTTGTATAAATTGTCAGGACTATTGTGACCCTCTGTAACTTCAACTTTGTTCTTTACTTTTCAGAATTTCAGCTATTCATATTCTTAGAGCTAAGTGTATACTTAAGCTGGTTTTCTTTTTCCTGGATGAAGACACAGAGATGCAAAGCTGGATAAGTTTAGTAGCAACATTAATAACATACACTACTCTCTGCAGGGTGAGGAAGAACTATGAACTGGATCTAAGGGATGTGAGTTTGTTGCTTTTGCTTAACATTATTTACCTTTCCCTACTCTCTCCAAAAGACTGATCCTAAATTTTTTCACAGACTATAACCCAGTTATTTCAAATAATTAGTAAACTGGCATAAAAACCAGGCGGGGGGGCAAGGGTGGGGAGAGAGAGAGAGGGAAGATTTTTTTTGCAGGTGTGATGGGCATCTGAGCCACCAGGATGGCACAGTCCCTTAGGTGGGAACCTGCGTAAATCAGAGCAGAGTACATGAGGAATAGGTAGTAAGGAGGGCAGCCAGCTTTCCAGGGGAGGGAGGAGGAGATTTGGACAGAAGACAATGCCAGCAGGGCCCCATTACTCAAGGAGTCATGTTTTTCTTAAGACAATGCAGGATTTTGTCTGTAAAAATTATATATTTTTTTCTCCTAAGAGAAAAACTCTCTTCCTCACAATGCAAAATTTCTGAAGAGTGAACATACCAAAATAAAACTACTAAGCCCACTAGGTTTGGCAGACTTTTGCTTTCCATCCTTGTGGGATTTCTACCTTGTGGGTGGAATCAAAGCAGACAGCTTCTTGTAACCATTTGCTTTCAAACACACGACCGATGTCCAAAACCGTTTTTTCATTTCATACAGGTCAAGTTAATTTTGTTCTCACAAAAGGTCACTTTCCCCCCCATCTATGCTGCATTGTGGGGTTTCTGGAATTGCATCTGTGCCTTGCCAGGAGCTCTGTTTAACCAGTCGGGTTGAGTCCAATTTAAAGCCCAATATGAGAAGTGGCCAGCTATCTGATGTTTCCCACCGACTGCTGATTGGTAAGTCACCAAGATGAACAGGACATGCTGGGTGCACCCCCTTTTCTAGAATCCTATCTCACCCACCAGGTGGAAGGCTTATTAACTGGAAACTATGCTACAGTCAAAGCCTCTTGATATTTTAGTGAGCAAACCTCTAACTTGTCCATGAAACAGTTCACAGCTGCTTTCTGGCTAATGCAAGGACCCACACAGATGCTGATGAACACTTTCCCACGCCACACAACAGCTTAGCTCTCCCGACTGTCTTTTGCAACACATCAGTGCCTGGAACCAAAACACCGATGATGGTTCCTGCTGCATTATGACTATATCCGTGGAAAGCTTCTTTTCCCTCAGCCAAGGCTTTTGCAAAGAGCACAACAGCCATATGGTCATCATCAAGTACTGGAAAGGTCTCGGATATCTGCTATAATCAACTGAGACCTGAATACATCACTGGTCAGGTCCTCATGCCTGCAGAAGAGTATTTCACTCAGAATGCCAAATTCCTCTGGGCTCAGAAGACCCTTCCTCAGAGATGACATGGAGAATACTACACTTTCTGAAAACCAGCCCTACCACGTGATTTTCCAATTACTTAATATCCCAGTAGGAAAATCCACTTTCTGAGAAAGATTCAGTGTCTCTGTAGTCCATTCCTGCCAGACAACACCAACTGTCCCTACATCTTTATCCTGCTGTGGATGAACCACTAATATCTCCGCTTCTGCAATATAGGAGGACAAAATGAGCACAAGTTCCGGATATGCTGCAGAAGTTGATCCCTAGTGTTTTCAATCACCCTTCCAACTAGGCTGTGTGTGTGGCAACAGGAGTAACCTGCTCTCATCCAGGCCTCTGCAGAATTGCAAAATCACACCACAGCACCTGATGCAAGTGTTTCCCTACTTGGTGTCGAGATGTCAGAGTGTAGACCCGGACCTAATCCCAAAGTTCCCCCAAGCAGTCTATAAATTTAACTTCTTCTAGCTCTTTTGTATTGATTTTTTTTCTCCCCTCTACAATGACAAGCACTGCTGCTCTGAAAAACTAACCCTTGCTCCAAACAATTTTGTTATGTCCCAAAATTGTCCACATTGGCATTTGAGCCTAAGGTGAAAGTTTATACAGGCAGACAAAGGACAGGAACAGTCATGAGAATCCTTGCCATTTCTAGCCATGCTAAACCATACTCCTGCAATTACTGGAATGCTTTTTTCCACCTGATCCAATTTAACAGGCTAACAGCCCAAATAAAACAAACAATGGACTTTTTCTCTGCCCATTTTGAATCACGGTCATTTTTAGTACTTAGAGCTCCTCAGCTGCATCCAACAAACAAGGAATGCTCCTCTCATGCTTCTCAGCCACAAGAATTTTAGCAGCTACAAGTGCTAGCTTATGTGACTCTGCTCCTAAACACATTTTTACAGTTTGGCTCATAAATGTAAACACACATATTTCATATATCACTCAGCCAGTACTGCTGCAGCAGCAGCAGCCTTCAAGAGATAGGAAAAGCATAAAACTGAAGACAGGAACTACTTAAGCCATCTGCATTTAGTCAGCACCGCATGTGAGTTGATGCCTTAAGACTGCCCCAGCATTTTCCAGCTTTCTCTGCTGGAAAGCTGAACCTGCATACAGCTGTTAAACAGTATTTGCACTCAGAGGGGAGAATAACTCGTTTGTTACACATGGATTGTTCACAAAACATTGACCCCATCACTGCTGAGGCAATTTTCTGTGGACTGAAGTTATAGCCCCTGATATTCCTTATACTGTTATTAGATGTAATGAAATTTAAATAAGTTGTACGACCATTTACTGCATCAGCTATGAAGATTTCTTCTTTCCTCTAATCCCACATCCGAGTCTCCAAAAAAAACATTTCCCAACATACTGATGGATGTGCTTGTGTCAACCCAGTCTGCATTTGAGACCAAACGGTTCTGCATCCTTTGTAAATCCAAACACATGCCAATAGAAGCGTCCTTTTCTTTAATAGCCAAGCCCAAATTAAACTTAGTTACTACACTTACTCTTGCTCAATCCTTTCCTTGGTTTTGCTGATGAATTTACTACTTTTTTGATAATAACTTATCAATGTTAAGAAACCATCACATACTCCTCAAAGCTTCCTACAAGGAAAGGCTGGGTTTAAGCTGCAAAAGATAAGACAAAGTGGGTCCAAGACAAGTCCAAAGCTATGCAAGTGCCCCAAGCCAACACAATATCCAATCTCCTACTGTCCCATTTCCTCTGCCTGCTTGTGGCCACTGTGACCTTCACACTCCCCACCAAGTGTTAATCCCATCCGGACACACCTACATCACACTTCCGTATTTTCTTCTCCATCAGCCACATCATCTGTGTTGGGAACCTTTTTATTAACCTGCTCTCCAAAAAATCTTTAGAAATACACATTTTATTCTAGTTTTTAAGTTTTTAGTCTATCATTTATTATTTGCCTGCCTTAGACAAAATAGCCTGCAGTTTTTCCTCTTAGAAAAACTGCATCTTAAGTCAGTACTTTTCTCAAGCATATTTTAAGGGTCCTGGAGAATATTCTTACAGCAGAGAAACCGGTAGGGGTAGCAGGTGTTTTTGATAAAATTGACCTAACTCAAAACGACATCTAAGTTCATTTGAAGCAAAGGAAAAAAAAAAAACCCACCTCATTTTCCCTGTCCACAACTCCAAAGCTTGTAGTTAATTCCCTGACCAGAAACCTCTGACTCCAGTGCAGCAAAGCTCAAAGCAATTAGGCACAGGTTCACTGTATGGAAAGTGCTCTCCCCCACTCTGGAGCTGCCCTGACACGACAGGAATGCAGACCAGGCAGCGTTTCTTCACCAGGGCTTTGCTCCCAACCAAGACAGGTAGAGGGACAGCAGCATCCTGCAGCTGGCAGGACCAGGATGCATGGGGATAGAAACTGCTGCACCAGGACATGAGCCCAAGGAGAGGGGAAAGGGAAGGGCATTTCCAATTACTTCAAGTGGATGTTGGCTACAAAAGTCGATGGTCACAAATTCAACCTTCTTCTCTAGAACCACATACCCCTGCTTTCCAGCATTGTTGAGCTTGCCTTTCCTTAATTTACTCTCTAAACAATAAGCACTTGAAGCTCATATGCCCTAAACATTCAGATTTATTAAAAGGTTTATATTTTCCTTTGTCCTGGCAGAGGCATGTGCTTACCTATTACTTACTGCTATCCTCACCAGAGGGACAGTAAAAAAAAAAAAAATTAAAAATTAACTAGGATTGATAAGGACAGAGGCAGCCAAGCACAAAAATGCTACTATGCTATGTTAGCTGGCTACTGTCCTCCACTAAAAAAAACAGCTTATGACAATGGTTCACAAAACACCTGGACCTTTTGTTAAGGAAGTACCCTATAAATATGTGTGCATTAATATGCTACAACTAGGACAAAATAACAGTATCTTTAGATACCTGTTTATATCTCCCTCCCATACTTATATGTGCTAAATTCTCATAAAGAGACCTCTGAAGTCTGACTCTGATGACTTGATTACAGCCACATCACACTGATGCTGTCATACTGAGCACTGCATCAATACTGATTGATAAATATATTGCTACAGGCTTTTGTACACCAAAAATAGGATCCATCATCTAAGTAATCAGTGCAAGCAGTGCACTAGTAATAATAGAAACACTTCTGAAAGAAATAAAAATCCTAAATTACATTCTACA